ATGGTCATCTGAATTAAATTCACCCATTCCTGTCCATTTTAGTTCACTGATTCCGAAGATGTCGATGTTCAGTCTTGTCATCTCATTTGACCACGTCCAGCTCGCCTTGATTCATGGATCTTACATTCCAGGTTCCTATGGAGTATAGATCTTTACAGCATCGGACTCTCCTTTCATCACCAGATACATCTGCAACTGAGTGTCCTTTCGGCTTTGACCCAGTTGCTTCATTCTTTCTGGTGCTACTAGTATTAGCCCTCCACTCTTCCCCCGTAGCATATTGGACACCTTCCGACCTGAGGGGCTTATCTTCCGGTGTCATATCTTTTTGCCTTTGGTACTGTCCATGGGGTTTTCGTGGCAAGGATACTGGAGTGGGTTGCCATTTCCTTCTCCAGTGGATCACATTTTGTCAGAGCTCTCTGCTATGACCTGTCCGTCATGGGTGGCCCTGCACGGCATAGCTCATAGCTTCATTGAGCTACGCAAGCCCCTTCGCCACAACAAGGCAGTGATCCATGAAGGAGTACAATAACTTAGAAGGCTCTAAATTGTTCTCCCATGTACACGTGTCCAAACTCTAAGGTCATCAGCAGAGGTCCTTCTCCAGGAGCCTGCTGTGAGGAAATTAAGGAAGGTGGCCACCCAGAGAAGGGCCTTTTCAGCCATGGCATCCTGCCTGTGGAACCAGCTCCCTAGGAAGATGTGCCTGGTGCCGACACTATATACCTTTCGGTGCAAAGCTAAACCCTTTTGATTTTCACAGTATTTTAACTGTTAAAATTTCATATGTTTTATATGTCACTGTGGTTATTTTTTAATTTGGTTTTGATTTAATTAATTTTATAACTATTTCAGACTATATTCCTGATTTTATACTCTTTTTTTCTTATTCGAGTATATTTTTAGTTTATAATGTGTTGTAACCCATCCTGACAGTCATTGACTAAATAGAAATGGTATAAAAATGCCTTAAATAAATAATTGAGCCATCACAGGATTGTGGCCTAAGGCCTGCTCCAACTAAAAGCTGCTAGTTATATGCATATGGGGTAGATGTGCATTGACACTTGATGCGACAGGTTATTTGTTCTTTTACCCTCTTTGTTTTGCCTCTTTTAAAAATGAGAATGGAAGGAGCAGAATGCAAATAATAATGAAAAAGTTCCATTCCATTTCATGCACAGCATTTCTATACCACTCAATAAGCACATCTCTGAGTAGTTCACAAATTGTATTTATCTGTGCTATTTTTAGCCTGCTAAATGTTTCTTTTAATCCTTAAGTGGTTTCCATTAAAAATATTAAAAACACAAGTACAATTTTAAAAAAACACATTAACAATATAACAACAACAACAAACATGAACATTATGGGAGCAGTCAAATAAACAGAATGGTTAATTTGATTACAGTCCAGGGAAAGTCTAAGTGAGCAGCGGCATGTTCAAGAAACATTTGAAAGATACCACATTTTCTGCCTCCCCTATGGCACATGGAGTCTTAAAATCCAATACTGTAACATAACATAAAGCCATTCAAATATGTATAACCAATTTGACAATCAGTGATAAGAAATTTCAAGACTCGTTGAAACCCCCGTCACATGCTGTCAAATACTAGAGAATGAATGAAAGTTTCTACCTGGTGCCAAAATGACAACAGGTAGGCCTCGCTGGGGGCAGCTGCTCTGAAGATGGTGCTCCCCCTTGTTGTCATCCTCTCTTGGGGGAGACGTTTGGAGAAGGGCCTCAGATGACAAGCAGAGTAGATAGGGAACTCTATACAGGGAGGTACTCCTTTGGGTTAGCTAGGCTTGGAAATGTGCAGGCAGTTTGCATGGATGGACCACAACTGGTGTTATATGTCTGGACTTCCTGGTCCCTGCCGCCAGTCTGGCTGCCATATTTTGCACAAGCTGAGCTTTCTGACGCATCTTCAAAGGCAGCTCAACCATCACCCATTGAAATAATCTGGCTGGCGGGTTACCAAGAATGAAATATCACAGTTAGGCTATCCCTGCTGAGATAGCTCCTTAGTTGGGCCACCAACTGAAGCTGGTAGAAGGCACTCCAAGCCACTGAGGCCTCCTCCCAAGCCTTAGTGATGAAGATCATTCTGGGGGAAAGGCCATGCTATCTCTGCCTATCACCAAGCACCCTCCCACCCCCCAACACACACACACACACAGCCAGCACCAAATCAGGAAAAGGCAAAGCACCCTTCTTTTTCTGGTAGGCAGGGGTTCCACGTCCAACCATCCTGCCACTGTCTGCTCCTAGACCGAGGACATCCTGTTTTCACACACATTCTTGTCAACCTTGCTCATTTGAAAAGAAAGCATAAAAAGCAGAGCTTTCTCTTACCGTTGGGTACCATCTAGTGAAACTTTGGGGGAACTGCCGTGAACATGGTCAATACTAAGGCAGAATTCACAAGTCAACCAGGTTCTTTTCAAAGCTGCCCACTCTGCCAATCCTAATTCTCTGGGTGGACAATCATAGCTTATGAGCTGCTTCTCATAAAACAGGCATTTCTGGGTTAATTAACCCAGGAATGACAGAACATGAGTAGGCAAGCACTTGGTATCTAGCATGCCCATCGCTTCTTCAAATAATATTCTGTGATTGCCTATTCATAGGCTTTTAGCACAATTTCCAACCTGGAATACTCTGGGTTGTTTCAAAGTTAAATGGCCTAGAATTAGCCCAACAAAAAATGAGCTAATTTGCTTATTCATTTCTCAAGCAACACTACTATCCTAACACTAGCCTCGAGCAGGCAATCTCATTCTTCAAGGCTGCAAACATTTTATGGGAGGAAAATGAAGCAGCTATTGCACCTCTTCTCCCCTGTCCACACACCTTTTTGCTTTTGCACAAATTTGGACTGTTGCAAGAAAGAACTATGAAGGACACATGCCTATAAAAACCACCCTGCCAAGTTGCGATGCTCTAGCAAGGGTGGGCAATTTGTGGCTTTCCAGATGTTTTAACCTAGAACTCCCATCATCCCTCACTGGCTACCAGAAATAGGGATGATGGGAGTTGTAGGCAAAATGATCTGGAGGGCCATACATTGCCCACCTCTGCATGTATGCTTATGCGGAATCAACCCTCATTAAGCTTGATAATATGCATAGACCTGGCTGCATCTAGAAAACTTACACACCAGAAAAAAAGGTGCTAACTCAGCCTGCTCCCTTCTGTGCTGGGTTTTCTTCCCTACCCCTCCCCACTATATCTATCTATCTATCTATGCAGAGAGTTTATTTTACATAAAAGGTCAGAAAAATGCCCCTTCCCTGACAATCTGAAGTAGTACATAGCCTACTTTCCCATCTTTTCAGTAGTGCAGTTTAAGCCAGGCTTCTGCAGCCTGAAGACTTCTCAGGTACAGCAGGTATCCAGAAGAAAATCTGCTTTATCCCCACACACATAACCCCGCCCCCCTTTAGACTTGGAGAAGGGAGCAGAGAACTTTAGACCATTACCCATTCCATGCTTTACCACTGCTTAAACTCAGCTAATACATAGCACCATCATGACTACAAAAATAAAATACAACTGGTTTGTGCTTCCCTGATGTTAACCACATTTACATGGGAATAGGTAATGTTCTGTGGTAAAGAGATATATTTTAATGTAATGTAATAAAATAAGCAGCCATGACTGTGTATGTGCTTGGCTTGCCACTGCCTGTCTATAAAATTAAGAGAAAAAAGGAAGGAAGGATGTGATGGCCAACAGCTTCATCTCCTAACATGCTCACTCCAGTCTAGGTGCCGATTCCAGACCCAGCTTGATTGTCACTGCCCCATCATTTGCTCAGGGGTGCCCCTGGGTTGCACAGCTCGGGCTTCTGGCCCCAGCATGCATCAAAACCTACTCTTCTGCTGTCATCCTATACATACTTAGTAGAAGTAAATCCTTTTGAACTCAGTAAGGCTTACTTCTGAGTACCAAATGCAGTGGGATTTAATAGAAAGCTAACATGAGGGATTACGTCAGGTTATGCTATCAGCCAGTAAGGTAAAAAGGTAAAGGTAAAGGTTTCCCCTTGACATGAAGTCCAGTCATGCCTGACTCTAGGGGGCAGTGCTCATCTCCATTTCCTAGCTGAGGGAGCCAGCGTTTGTCCGCAGTCTCCGTGGTCATGTGGTTGGCATGACTAAACACCGAAGTGCATGGAACTCTGTTACCTGTCCACCGAAGTGGTACCTTTTCATCTACTTGTATCTGCATGCTTTCGAACTGCCAGTAAGGTAGGCAGTAGCTAAAGGTAAATCTTTGGCAACACATTCAGTAGAAGGTTCAGCAGGAAACAAATATTCAAACGCCACGAACAACAGCAAAATCAAATAGGTTAAAACTGCAAGAAATCTTCTGGCACCTTAAAGAATAAAGCTGCAATCCCTTGCAACTTCATACAGGAAAAAGGCCTACAACTCCCAGCATGCTCGGCCGACTACGGCATGTTAGGAGTTATCAGGCTTTTTTTCTATTTAATCCTGCATAGGGCTACACCTTTAAACTTTAATTCTGGGATAAGTTTCCCTAACTGCACCGAGGGAAGAACAACTTTAAAATGTATTAGGCACATGCCACAACTGATTTTAATTTTAAAGGGCAGAACCCTGTCAAGGCGACATACAGGATTTACAGATAACAGCAGTAAAAGCACCAAAACTGCAGTAAGCATGTGTTCAAAGCAAAGGTTCCATTAAAGACTCTTCCTAGGTTTTACTTAAAAAGACTAACCCCGTCTGGAAACGGGACTGTTAACTGAGTCAGAGAAATCACAGCCCATGTAGCCTCCGATACGCTCCCTTTCTTTTCAGCCGCGCAGTAGAACACCCAGCCGCACCTGGCCAAACTCACGTCCGGTTACCCTTCCATCTCGCATGCGCACTGGGGAAGCAGCTACTCCGAAGAAAGAGCGAGGCTGCAGCGGGTAACGCCTCCGATTGTGACGCACTTGGCTGTCGTAATGACGCTAAACAGTCAGAGAACGCAGAGCCGGCTTTGAGTAAATAGTGCTGCGGAGGGATCGGTCGCTCTTGATAGCCGTGCGTGCGTGGCCGTCCCTTTCACGGAGGGGGATAACAACAGCAACAACCATGGCAATGGTAATGCAAGTTGGGAACTGATTGTTTTGGCGAGAGGGCGTGGGCGAATCGAGCCCCAAAGCACGTCAGGGCTGGTTGCAGCCCTGAGGAGGACGCTTTTAAGCACTTGGAGGGTAGGGGCCAAAGTCCTTATTTTGTTTCGGGCTACAAGCGCCTTGATGGACTGTATTTTTATAACCCCTTTCCTCTAGCAAGCGCAAGGGCATTGCATGAGGTTAGCTTACGCGTGTACTTTTCCTCCACAACAACCTTGTTAGGTAGGTTAGGCCAAAAGGAGTGAATGTTTGGTGGTGGCTGGCTTGAGGTCATCCATTGAGATGAACCAGGAATTCTGCCGTTCTAGGCTTAGGATACAATTCTGTGCGTATTTAGACAGAAAACGGGCCTACAAATGCAGACTGGGGGAATGCTGGAAAGTATAGGACGTCTTCCTGTCTTAAACCTCTGTAGCTTTATGCTTTTAACCAACTTGCTACACTGTCTAATAGTATTTGGCCCAGTAGGCTTCAAATTTTAACTCCACCTGCTCTGTGTGCCCTACTTTTAATTTATCTCTCCCTTTACTCCGCACTTTCTCCTTTGGTATTCCTTTGTTGTTCTAAATAATCTCTCCCCATTTTTTAAAAACACAGAAAATTGGGATTGTGTCCCAGTGTTGATTCTAGTTCCACTGTTTAAAGTATGGAGACTTACTAGAATTGTGGAAACAGGCAAAAGGTAGCTTTTCAAATGATTTAGTGGTCAGCTCCTGCAACCCCATGCCAACATCACCAGTGGTTAGGAACGCTGGGAGTGCAAGACCTCAGGATCTGCAGGTCTAGTGTCTGCGCACTGGGGATCTGATTCCAAGCCATGTATTGTGAGGGAACTTCTAGTGTGCAACAAAAACTCCATGTACATATCCCACCTCAAAGGGGATGCCTGCAGCATCCTCCATGAATTCAGAGTCCTTCCTGTCAGCTTCTACTGTGTGGCAAGGTGGTGGTGGGGAATTCTGTTGTCTCCCAGCCCGAGGTGACATCTAAGCCCAGGATAGTGTATCCTGCAGAAACACAAATCGCAGGTTCCTCTTTCAGGAAAATAGTAATAATTCCACCCACCCTCAAAGAACAATGCTTTTTCTCAAGTAGAAGAATGAAGTGCTCTTGCTGTCTCCATGGTGGATCAGTGTGGGGGAAAGGGCATTAAATGGTGTGAGTCTGGAAGATTTAAAATACCTTCTTCACATGCCATCCTGAAGTCATCTAGAGAGGTCCTTTGCTGTGTTCACCTGTTGTCAGAAGTGCAGCCTGGGTTTTCATTTCTGGTACCCAGATTATTGAACACTCACTCTGCAGCAGCCTTTTACTACTTGGTGCCCTCTAAAGATGTTAGGAATTGTAGTCCACGTTCCTGGTGAGCCCCAGGTTGCGGAAGCCTACCCTATAGGAAGAAACTAATATGCCCTCCCCCTCTAGCATTCTGAAAAGCTTTCATTTGTTTTTTATGGCTTTGGTGTGGATTAACTCTCCCTCTGACTTGATTGCTGATCTGGCTTTTAGGCTGCGGTGGTTTCTATTTTAGGGTTGCTGCTTATATTTACTATTGTTTTCTTGTTTTATCAGCAAGAGACAACAGCCCAATTTTAAATATTTTTAAGAGATTACTCTAAACAATTGGTTACTAGTTTTTGGGTGTTCTGGAAGTTGCTTAGGTGGAGAAATGGCTTGTATATTTTTGTTTCATTTGTACTCAACCTTTCTACAAAGAAAAGGGCATGCAGGGTAGTTTAAAATCATAGAAGCTGTCAACATTTAAAATACAATATTAATTAAAACAATGATGAAACAGATACATTAAAAACAACAATATTAAAGTGTAATCCTATGCATGTTTGGACAGAAAAATGCCCTACAACTTGCAGCATTCCATAGCTAGCATGTTTGCTGTGGCATGCTGGATATTGCAGGGCTTCTTTCTGCCTAGGCATGTATAGGATTGTGCCCTGAAGGATCACTCACACAGCCATATTGTTTAAAGCTGTATACAAGAAGCAGGGTTAGTGTCCAGCCCAGTGGTATTCTTGAGTGCACCCCTTTAATTTCCATCTTGGAAGTGAATCACACTTGGGGAAACACACTGGGGAAAGATGTACCTGGGAGGGGCACTGTTTAAATGTGCCCAGAGTCTCCCATTGGAGGGACCACAGTTCATGCTTTGAATTTAGAAGGTCCCAGGGATCAAAGCTTTGCAGTATACAAACCGTGTCCACCATCTTGCACAGGGTGACAGGCATTTTGCTAGTAAATAATAGTGCTTTTGTCCCAGGAGTGGCAGGGGGTGGGCAAAGAAATGGTGAAAGTAGAAGTCTGTATGCGAGGCTTCTGGGTCAGGCAGATGGAAGGATTGTTCCTGAGCAAAGCTCCATGGGACAGGGGTTAGAAGGAGCAAAAGGATGAGGGGATAAGGAGGGGGCTCTGCCAGAGGAAAGGAGCTAAGCGCTGCTGAGACCAAGGGAGCTTAACTGGAGCCAGCCCATGGCATTTTGCTGCTTGAGGCAAAGACCAACATGGCTCCTTCTCCCCATTTCATGTCTAAAAGCTGACTGGACTCAGTGAGCAGAGGATGGACAGGTAACGTTGTAAATGGTTCTTGTTAGAAATGCTGTGATCTAGATGTTTGTCAAAAATGCCTCTCAACTTTACTTTCCATGTGAACAGTGAGACAGAGTTGTCAATAGGCAGAGTGAGGCAGTTGCCTCAGGCAAGGAGACATTTTAAAAAGTCTCAATGACATTGCCTTCCATTTGTAACCCTCCTGTATTTTTCCTGCCCTTCTCCCCGCACCCATTTCTGCAAACATCCATTAAGGAGGAATGGATGTATTTTGATGGCGCTAGAAGTGCTTTTTCTGGAAGTACCAGATGCCCTGAGTAAGGTGTTCTTGACTGGAATATGCAAAGCACTACCCTACTGGCTTCGCTTGCCCTCAGAGAGGAGTGTGACCCCATCTGAAACAGTCTGAATACCTGAATTTGCATCTGTGGCCATCTCCCTCCCTGTAGATAGTTTGCATGTTTCTTTGCTAACTGGAGGGAACTAATGTGCCAGGGTTGTGTGCATACTGCAATTTGGTCGTGGATCAGCTAAAAGTGCAGGAGATGGAATTAGATGATAAATATGGAACCCTGAGATTCTTGGCTTTCTTGGGCTTCTTTGAATCATGGCTGAATAAGAGATTCACTGGCGAGGGGTCTCTCTTCATAACTGGCAAAGCCCAAATAAATTCTGTAAATGGAAGGGAATCAGGCAAGCATGCATTGTCCGGGTTGTGGAATTCATTGTTGTTTCGTACAGAATTCAGACTTTTATTCCCTTTTATTTTATTTATTTATTTAAAACATTTCTATCCCATCCTTCACAACAACATCTCAGGATGGCTTACAAAGCTAAAATCAACAGCAATAATAAAAGTACAATCAATAATACAATAGATAATAAATAGTAATAAATACAATCAGTAGTAATAAAATACAACCAGAGTTTAAACAATAACTAAGAAAAAATGAGGAAATCACATTCAAAAGAAAAAATATAATAAAAATAAAAATGTGACTGTTAACTTAAACTTCTAAAACCCCTAATTCTTAAGATGACGTTTCAATAAAAGGGTTTTCACCTGGCACTGAAAAAAGTATAAGCTTGGCGCCAGGCAAACCTCTCTGGGGAGTGCATTCCACAGTCTGGGTGCCACCGCAGAGAAGGCCCTACTCCAAGTAGACATCCTCTTTACCTCCTTCAGCGAGGGTTCCCGGAGCAGGGCCACTCCTGAGAACTTCTTAAGGGGCATGAAGGCATATAAGGAAGGAGATGTTTCTTCAGGTATTCTGGTCCCAAGCTGTTTAGGGCTTTATAAGTTAATACCAGCACCTTGAGTTGGGCCCGGACTTCAATTGGAAGCCAAAGTAACTGGTACAGGACCGGCATTATATGAGAATAATACGCTGAACAGTCCCCATCAGCAGCATGGCAGCTCTGTTTTGAACCAATTGAAGGGCAGCCTCATGTAGAGCGTGTTACAGTAATCCAACCGGGAAGTTACCAGGGCATGTATCACCGTTGCCAGGCAGTGCTTGTCCAGGTAAGGACGCAGCTGATGGACCAGCCAAAGCTAGAGGAAGGCACTCCCCGCCACCGCCGTCACCTGGTCCTCCAGGGACAGCTCTGGGTTGAGGAGCACTCCTAGGCTGCAGATCTGTCCCTTAGAGGGAGTGCAACCCTGTCCAGGACAGGATCAAAATCACTTACCTGAAAGCCCGAACACCCACCAATAGGACCTCCATCTTATCTGGATTGAAGCTCAGTTTATTGGCCCTCATCCAGCCTATTATCTCGACCAGGCACCGGTTCAAGGCAGCACTGCCTCACCTGGAGTAGATGTAAACAATAGGTAGAGCTGGGTATCATCAGCGTACTGATGGATCCGCAGCCCAAACCTCCTGATGACCTCTCCCAGTGGTTTCATGTAGATGTTAAAGAGCATGGGGGACAAAATAGAGCCCTGTGGTACCCCGTGGCAAAGCTGCTGTGGCACAGAGCTATAGTACCCCAGCACCACCTTCTGGAATCAGCTGGCCAGGTAGTGGAACCACCACCGTGCAGCACCTCCTCCTCCTAACCCAGCCAGCCTATCCAGAACGATACCATGGTTGATGGTATCAAAAGTTGCTGAGACGTCCAGGAGAACCAACAGGGATGCACCCCTCCGTCCCTCTCCCTGCACAGGTCATCATACAGGGCGACCAAGGCAGATTCAGTTCCATAACCGAGTCTGAAACTGGACTGAAATGGGTCCAGATAATCCGTTTCATCCAAGAGTGCTTGGAGTTGTCCCGACACCACCTGATTCAACACCTTGCCCAAAAAACGGGATGTTGGCCACTGGTCTACAATTGACGGCCACCTCTGGGTCCAGGGATGTCTTTTTCAGGACAGGTTGGATCACTACCTCCTTTAAAGGGGCAGGGACCCAGCCCTCCCTCAATGAGACATTGATAACCTCCTGGACCCAGGTGTCAATCCCGTGACTGGCTTTCCTAAGTAGCCAAGAAAAGCAAGGGTCAAGCAAACATAGGGTGATCTACATCTGATTCTGACAGTGTCTCAATCTGAAGGGAATCCGGGGAACAATTAATGTTGGGCAGGAGTAGAGCTTGCTTTTGTATAAAGATATTGCTTTATTTTGGACTTAATTTTAGGGCATGTGAGGTTCTGCTCCCCCAATCCTGCTAGCCGTAACAATGGGGTCTTCACTGTCTGCGAACACGAGCTCCTCCTGCTCCAGGCTACAAAGAGAGAATGACAGTGATGAGGATTTGCTGGACAACAAGAATCGGGAAGAAGACATTGCCAGGTTCCCATATGTGGAATTCACTGGGCGAGACAGCATCACCTGCCCTTCCTGCCAAGGCACTGGCTGCATCCCCACAGGTAATTCTCTGTAGAGTTTGCCTGCCTTCTCCCTTCAGGGGAGAGTGGGTCTCTCAAAACACACGCACTGGCCTCTGCGGCATCCTGAAACACCCTTTATTGGTCCCTCTAGTCCTGTCTTCAGCATTTCCTCCTTGCATCTGCCTTCAGGATCAGCCCTCCCATGGGGCAGTCACCTCAGGTAACAGACATGGAAAGGTAGCAACTGCCCCTGAACAAACCTGTTGCCCATGGTGTTGCCCCATCGACAGGAATGAAGTAAGCTTGTCCAATCGATTTTTGTATATGGAATGGGAAAAGAGCACCTTCTCATTCTCGCTCCTCAGGCAGTAAAATACCTGCCCTCATTTACACAGCCTGCCTCAGAGGTGCACTAACTGTATTTTGAGGCAAAGCTCTTGTTGGCAGGCTGATTGGTGTCTTAAGACCTGTGGTGTGGTCTCGCTCTTTAATCTCTGCTTTTGTGTGGGTCAGGCCAGTTCCTTGCCCTGCAGGAATTCCCAGTCTAATGTTCACAGTTCACTGCTGTGATTGATGATGACTTGATACACGCAAGCCCCAGGTTTTGGCAGTGCTTGGGCAGGACATCCCACCGAGCCCCGCAGCCTGCTCAGCCTGCCTTCTAACTCTGACTGCCAGCAGCTGCTGCTGCAGCTCTTCATCTTTCTCATCGCTGCCTCCACTCACTTGCTAGACACATAGAGAGCCAGGGAGCAATGAGGTTCCAACATTTTCTTCCCCTCCTCACTAGCACCATTGTCTAGGCCAGAGCTAAACAAGTGGCAGTGGTGAGAAGTGCAGTGGTTGCAGCTACGGAGGCCTACCGAGTTGTGGGCTGTTGGCAAGTGCCCAGCCATCCCTGCCCTTGATGCTGCCTCTCACCTAACACATTGTGGCTGTTGGAGCCTGGAATCCTGCTCCAGTGCATGACGCTTTGGACTGGGTTGCCTCTGGGACACCCTCCTGCCACACTCGTCTGTCTCCTACACACTCCTGTCATCTGAATGCTAATGTCTGGTTTTGAGAGCTTGTTTTACCCCGAGCAAATCTTCTCCTCTCCTCTCTTTTTCTTCCCACCCCACAACCACGTGGTGGCGGTAGCAGAAATGTTAAGAGTTTTGTCAGTACAACAGGGCTGAGGAACCTCTTTCACCTTGTGGGTCAGACTCAGTTTTGGAGAAGTTCTAGGTGTGGTGGTGAGGGAGTGCCTTCCAGTGGTAAGTGGGGCTAAAGCCAAAATAAGTGGGACCAAAATATCAGCATGGTTTAGCTCAAAGTTCTCATTGGCAGTAACTAAACCTTAGGAGAGGTATTTCAGCCTTTCTGAATGAGTTTATGTTGGAGGTGTACACAAAATACAGGAAAGCATCAGAAAACTGGTGTTTGAGCGAAACAGGGTAGTGCTCTCCAGAAACCAGAACCCAGGTGGGCTGCACTTGGGCTGCAATAAAATATGATGACACTGTGGTGACTTGCTTGGCTGTTCCTTGGAATGGAGGCCCGATCGCCTGATGCACCTCTGCAGTCCTTTTGTTGTCCAGTGGCCTTTGAGTGACTTCCCTGGTGCATCAAACCTTGCAGGTATGTGGTGTTGCAGGTAGGGCTCTAGTTCATTGGCATGGGGAGCCTGGAACCCAGTTCTGTCTCTTGCTACAGCTGTGTAAGTTAAGGGTTGGGGGTAACTGTTCAGGTTAGGTTTTTTATTTGTTTCTGGCTCTTTAAACTTAAAGTGGCTCTTTGTCCTCCAGGGTGATTGCTGAGCTCTAGTACAAGTTTGTTATATCGTCTTTAATTCAAACCAGCAGGAAAAAAAGTTTGTGATAGTTCACTGCAATCTCATGATAGTTTGCTGCAAATTCAAATCAAATCTCTAGGATTTGTTGCATGGAGCCTCGGAATCCATGGTTCTCAAGGGAACAGCATAGCTCTGTGCACACCAGTGTGTAACATTAAGAGCCTCTGGCATTAGCAATATTGCTTTTTCTTTTTTCTAGAGCAAGTTAATGAATTGGTGGCTCTGATACCATACCATGACCAGAGGTTAAAACCTCAAAGGACGTAAGTACAAAAGAAGACTCTGATTCCATTATTGTGCTGTCTTAGACATGAAAGGGAATTAATATCCTGTAGAAAAGAGATTCGTGCTGCTGTCGCCTCTGTCTCATCATGTCTCATCTCTTGAGGCTTCCCAGCCGTTGATTTACAAAATGCCTGCCTACTTCTTAATAGTAACATGTAGTGTTCCTCAGTACTATCAACCCAATGAACCACTCCACAACCATGAGTGAGTTCCTGTTCTGTTGAGTGACTGCCAACATTTCTGGTCCTTGAGGAATGTAAGGATCCTGAGCTGTTCCCAAAATGCATTGTACTTGGATGCTTGTTTTAGTAGAGTTTGCATCTTGAGGGGATCCCCACACTTGAGGCTTAAGTAGCCTTTGAGCCTCATGCATTGGACATGATTTGCCATGTGTCAGGGTGAACCTGTTAGCAGGGGTTGAAGGGAATAGGTTAAAATGATTGATCTTGTCTTCTGCAGGAAGCTCTATGTCGTGGTGTCAGTGCTGCTCTGCCTCCTGGTGTCAGGGTTGGTGGTCTTCTTTCTCTTTCCTCATTCAGTCCTTGTGGATGACAGTGGCATCAAAGTGGTTACAGTTTGGTTTGACGAAAAAAACTCCCTTGTTGTCCTTGCCATTACGGTAATGCACAAGCGTATATACTTCATTCACCTGGATTTCCTAGGCTGGGTGTGAAGCCTTACTTTGAAGACTTCTCTTTCCTTTCTCTCTATAGGCCACTCTCCGCATCAGAAATTCCAATTTCTACTCGGTAGAGGTAACCAGCTTGGCCAGCCAAGTGCAGTATATGAACACTGTGGTTGGGACAAAACAACTTAACAATGTCACCCGCATCCAGCCATTGAGTGACCAGCTGGTACAGCAGTCTTCTTATTCTTTCGAGGCTGAGGTCTTGGGTGGGGTGGTGCAGGGAGGACATATCATCCTTGAACTAATGAGACTTGATGAATGATTGCTCATGCTTTTTGTCTTCGTAGGTGAATTTCACAGTGAAGGCTGAAATGGGCGGGCCCTTTTCATACGTCTAGTAAGGATTCATTTATAAATAACTATGCTTGGACCATTGTTCAGCTTTGTAAAACTTATTCTGAGGAAGGTGTCCTCCCTCTCCCTGCTAGAGAGTCTCAGATTCTTTAAGTACAGTGGTGCTGTGGTAAATTTGGAAGTTCCGTTCTCCAAGGCCATGTCCCCAAGGTGAATCCATGCATTTAGGCAGTGGTGCTACTCCGTGACATCCGTGACATCAAACTAGTTTACCTCTTCTCCAAGAGTTGACCCTTTGTTAATCTGAGCAGGGACAGGCCACTTGTAAGCCAAAACATCCAGAGGGGCACAACTCCCATGATCCCTCATCATTGGCTCTGTTGACTAAGGCTGATGGGCTATATAGGCCAAAACATTTGAGGAGCCACAACTTGACCATGCCTGAGGCAAAGGGACTTTATTCTGTATTCAGGACCAAGTCACCACAAAATACTTGGAGAATTCCCTGTAACAGGAACAGTGCAGCTTTCCTGGTAAAATATGTTTCTTCCAGTTACTGTGAGGACTGCATCAAAGCTAAGAGAGAACGGAGAAGTCTGAGGAGAGTGACAGGTATCCCTGCTAATGTAAAGTCTGGGGCTGCCTCCCTGCGAGTCCTGGCTCTGCTGCACCATTGTTTAAATAGTCCACTGCCTTATGTCTACTGAAGAACTGCAGTAGCTCCTCCAATAGAGAACAGCTAATAAGCGTAACTTGTACACAAGTTTTGTAAATGGATATTTCACAATATGATGATAACGTCTCAAGCTTTGGCATATTGCTGCTGCCCACCCCAATGAAACTTAAGAGAGGTCTTCCATCGCATGCTTCTGCCAAAGCAAGCACTGTCATCCGGAGATACCCTCTTGGATCTTCCATGACGAATGACTTCCATGGATCTTCCATGGATATTCTATGGCCATGGCTTCAAGTTTGTACCAATGTGTACAACTTGTAATACCATTTTAAAATAAGTATTTTACTTGTCAGTGTGTGAGAAGATTTCATAGAATCACAGAATACTGGAGCTGGAAGGGGCCTCTAAGGCTATCGGGTCCACTGCTGCTCTGCTAAGTGCAGGACTCCAGGTTAAACCATCCCTCTCAGCAGGCTGTCCAGTTGCATCTTGCATGCCTTTAGTGTGGGAAAGCCCACAGTCTCCCTAGGTCATTGGTTCCATTGCTGTACTGTCTCACAGGAAGTTTTTCTTGATGTTTAGGGGGAATCTGGCTTCCTGTAATTTGAGCCTGTTACTCTGTGTCCTGAACTCTGGCATGATTGAGAAGAGATTCTGGCTCTTCTTTGTGTGACGGCTTTTCCAGGAGTCGAAAAGTGCTCTATATCTCTCCTCAGCTTCCTCTTGGTGAAGCTGATTGTGCCTAGTTCTTTCAATCTCCCTGTTAGGCTTTGCTTGCAGAGCCATGATCCTCCTTGTCCCTCTCCTCTAAATCCTCTCTAGCTTGTCTCTGTGCTTCTTGAAGAGTGGTGCCCAGGCCTGGACACAGTACTCGAGATGGGGCCTAACTAGTGCTGAATAGAGGGGAGCCAGAACCTCACATGATTTGGAAGCTATACTTCTGTTAACAAAGCCTAAAATAGCATTTGCTTTTTTTTGCTGCCGGTTCATATTGTTGGCTCACATTCAGCTTGTGAGCTACAATTCCAAAATCCTTCTCACTTTTAGTACCATTGAGCCGCATATTCCTTGTCTGGTAACTCTTAATTTGGTTCCCTTTTCCTAGGTGCAAAACTTGGCATTTGTCCCCATTGTTGCTTTCGGCCCAGTGCTCCAGCCTATCAAAATCCCTTTACATTTTGTTTCTGTTCTCCAGGGTATAAGTTTGCTCACCCAGTCTCATGTTATCTTCAGATTTGATCAGCATTTCATGCCCTTGAAAGGAAAAAAGTGAAACTTCTTGGTGTGGGTCATCTGTGTCGCCAGGGTTATTCAGTTGATAAGCATGAATGGCATAATCTTCTGAATGTGGATGGCCAATTCCAGGACCTTAAAATTAAGTTCATTTTGAAGGACATCTGCAGCATAGATGCTCATTTGCAAATGAAAATGAGTCTTTGGGGAGCCATCTCTGCTCTGAGCTAGATCAGCTCTCTGAAGCTTCACAGCACTGCTTGATAGTGAAGTAAGATTTTCTGCTGCATTCCACAGTATTGAGCCTCAGAGCTGCTGCCGATGTGGGTTCCTCCTGGTAGAGTATAGAGCAGGAATGCCCGACTTGTGGGGCATATGCAGTCCACCAAAAGCTCAGCAAAACCTCTGGTTTTGCTATGTGCCTAGAATGAGAGGTTTGCAAAAATGGGAGAAGACACGTTGGGAACTTACCAAGCTGCTTGGATGTGGTGTGGTCTGTTCATGTTTGACTCAGAGCCACAAATCGTACAAGCCTTTTGCAAATCTGGATGGTTGCTCTGTGGCAGGTGATTCACTTCGTGGCACCTGTGTTCAGTTGGGGATTGGATACATGTGTTGTGATTAAAACACATCATGACAGAATTATTAAGAAAAGAAACTTTCAAGCTGAAAATTGCAGGCCCAATCCTAAATGAAAACTGAAAAAGGCTTGATAAACAAAATTATATCAAAGCTTGAAAAACACTGTACTGCATTAGGCACTTCTCACAGAATAATAGTGTTGTGAGATTATTAATTTGACAAGACCCCTTTAACAGACTATTTTTCTTTTAATGCTTTCTTATAATCTATTTTTTTCTCTTGGTCTTTTCTAGTTTCTTTTGCACATTGCCCAAGATCAGAGTGCACAATATTGTGATTTTCATGAGGTATGCATCTCTTTATACTATGCTATACATTGGGGGCTAGAAATAGGTTTAAGAAAAATCCACAAATAAAGTTATCTTCTGCCATGAATTGGCAACTAGACACTGGCCTGCAGTCTAATATTTGGGATGAAGGTAGATTAATAGGCCTGCTAGGCTCTTGGTGGATGTCTGTGTTGAAAGGAGGTATACATGAAGACTGTGTATTCCATGCCAAAGTTTAACATTCTTTATCAGGCAATTCAAATTTTGGAGTTCAGAAGAGCTGAACTCAGGAATTCTGTAATCTGCATAAATGTAAATAGTGTATTTGTATAACTGCTTTTGCATACATTCCTCTGTTTGCCAGTCTTGGAATAAGCAAAAATACTGAATACCCAACCATCAAGCTGATAACTGAATCTTCCTTCTACTATCTCAATCTCAGTAAGGGTTACTCAAGCATCTGCTCATATCCAGAAGAAGAAATCTCCCTGCTCCCATTGTGAGGTTGAGACTCTCATGAAATATGAATTATGTGCTCCTGACTGCTTCTTGCAGTGCTGTGAAACTTGAGCAGATATACAACTCTGACTATACTCTGTTACAGTCTCTTCCAAGAGAAGAAGCATGGTGGTATCCTTGATGTTCAAGGGAGACCATTCTGTATGCATGCTGAGGCATGCATGCCAAAACATTCAGTTGTCTGGGCCTCTGATTCTCAATATGTATGCTCACCGTTGCATTTTTTGCAGTTCTTTTGACTGATTATTTGCAAAGGGCCCTTCCTATCTGTTACAGGTCTGCTTTGTTCCCTGCAAAAAGCATCCCTCTTTGAACATTCATCTGCTCTTCAATGCTAGAAGGGGAGTGAAATGAGGCAAGGGGCTCGCTATGTGCACAATGCACATCACTTGCAACACTTCCACATTTTCTGAATCTTGATCTCCCTTTGAAGCCCCCTGTAGCATCCATTGGCCTGACAGCACCTGATTTTGATTGCTGCCAACACCCAGTGCAGAGTATCATAGCAGTGAAGCCCTGAATATGCCCTGAATATGCCTTCTGCTTGGCTGTCTTCTGCGTGGCTTTGGTTAAGGGCCTGCAGTTAATTGTGTCTTTGTCCAGTCTCCTTTGTCCACTTATTTATTCAAGTGCCTGACTGAACGCACGTCCTCTGTTGTAGACAAGAGTTGCTAGATGGCTTCAGCATTTCTCTAACATGAACCTTTGCCACCTGCATATTTAAAATACCTGCCCCATCAGCCAATACTTTTGTAGCCTAGGCAAAGATTTCAGTCTGAAACACAATTACCTTTCATTGAAAGGAACAGAGGTCTTTTGCTTTCTCTGAAGTACTTTTCTTTGCTTTTGTCCCTCAGGACTTCAGTGAAGATCTCCTACATCGGTCATATAACTCAGAGTTCCTTGGAGACCCATCACTATGTTGACTGTGGTGCAAATTTCACAGCTGCCCATGCTGGACCCTGGCTGCCAGCTCTGGGTGGTGCAGCTTAATAGCAGAGCACTTTGAGTCCAGAGTCTCATGTATTACAATGACGATGGGAGGCTGGCTTCTACTCTTGCATAAATTTAGGACTGCTTACTGTGGGCCTTTTTTCATTTGGGATGGGGAGAAAGAGAGTTGCTGCAGTCCTTGGTGAAAGGTGTGCCTGGCTAGACTTGAGGCACTTCTACAGTGTTCCATGGACTGTTCCTTGGTAGCTGACTGCCACCACCACTGCACCCCCACTGCCTCAGGACACTGAGCTCTGGCTTGCATGACAGAGCCTTCTGTTGGGTTTCTTGGCTACTCCTTAAAATTAGATGAAAACATATTTTTGTAGGAGTTTCCTCCCATTTTTCTGGACTGCAAAGAATGATGCTCCTAACTTGGTGATCACTGAAGGATGAACTTCTATCCCCATGGAAGAGGAGGTAATTTTGAGCTTGCTTCTCATGTGCTGATTTTTTAGCTTATGTCTTGCTTATTGTCAGAGACAAATGAACTGAGAATATCTTTACAGCAGCCTTCTCTAGCAATCTTCTCTGGCACTCTCTAGATGTGCTAGATTGCAATTTCCATCTTCCCCAAGAGTATGCCCAATGGCCATGGTGGCTGGGGAGAAGGGAGTTGTATTCTTAGACACATGCAGGACATTAAGTTGGGGAAGGCTGCTTTAGTCTAAGCCCTCCTGAAACAAATTTGCAAGCATTACAGCCCTCCTGTAGGTGTGAATTATTTTTCACAAATAATTTTGAAACTACATTTGTATCAGTAGTCTGTTAAGCATGCTGCTCTAAAAGGCACACAATTGACTTAGAGATCTTATGTTTTCTGCATCTTTCTCTTCCTGCTTTTAAGAATAAGCATCACAGGAGAGCTGTAGGTGTTCTGATCCCTGCATCAGCTACACCCAAAAAACAGTGGTCACTTTTAATTTTTTTATCTCCTGATTCTCTAGGCTGGAAGACTTTGTGCTGATTTAACTGGCCCATGCCAGGTAAATAGAAGGATTTGTTTATACTTTTCCAGTGAAGATTGATAGTTGTGTGTTGCTGCCCAAATGCCTTCCTCTCTTCTAAGAATCAAATTGGGATAACTTCATGGTCAAATTAAGAAAGTAAAGGATGGAGAGAAACTCCTACAAATAAATCTTGAACAGATAATTACTAATTCTCTTTATTTTTAAAATATAACTTACACCCATTCATATTTCTGCTTAAAGCTCCTCAGTGTGCTGCAGTATTTTTGTCTGAAGAAGAAATAGAATCCTATTTACACTTGGAAGTGGATTTTAACTCTAATTTTGGATACTTAAGTGACGGGGTTAATGCTCATTTAGAATCTGTACTGTTCTACTGGGCAGACTCTGTAGAGCTGAACTTTCATGAAGTTAATAAACCTTTAAGTCTTTCCTTTTGAGGAGTATTTTTCCTGTGGTCTCATAAAATGTGACTTTCTTTAGGGCACTTGATGGAATTACATGTTTAATTTCAGACCTTGCACTAAACAGCTTCTTTAAGTGTGGTCTACTGTGATGGAGACGCTACCCCAATAACCTGTAGATGGAGTGGCTTGTAAGCATAGTTTGACTTAGGTTTTAGCCACTTTTCCCCTTAATCCTGTGTGAGCAGATCCCTGATACCTATAAACTGGGCTGTTTTTCATTTTAAAAACAAGATCCAAAATCCTATTAGGCTTGTGTAGCTTGCCCCTCTCGCTCCTCACATAAACACATCATGTGGCAGAAGAGCAGGTGGAACAGACGTTGTAAAGGGAGAGACTACTACAACAGCTGGCTGATCCTCAAGTATGATTGCTAGCTGCTGGGGTGGGGGGAGTGTAATCGAGGAAGAGTCTATGGGCGAATTGGAATCTAAGAGACTTGAATGAAGGGAACGGGGAAGCCACACCAAACAGGTAGGCATGGTCTTAATGTTGTCTGTGTTGCTGAGTTAACAGGCTGTTTTTCTCCGTTCTATTGTGCAAGATCCCTTACAGGTCCTCTCACCCCAGCACAAACATAATTTTCCAGGCTTGTTGTTTTAGTACCTCATTCTACAATGGGTTGCTGCTCGATTCTAAATATAACATTTCTGTATTGTGCTGAGGATATATGAATTTTCCCCACTCTTGCTATTTTGCATCGGTGGTTCTAAAATTACTTGACTGCTTACTTTCTTGGGCAATCCAGGTTGAGGCTGAAACGTGAGAAGATAAACCCCAAAGAGTGGTTATGTGGACTCCCTCTCCCTTCTGCTGTTTTGCACTCATGACCCTAGGTCATGTGGCTCAGTTTAACTTCTGGTATGGTCTGCTGCCTGCTGGGAATTCAGCAGACAACCATGCCCCTGGCCTGCCAGTCCTGGGGGCTACTGTCAATGCACAAGAGGAGATTCCTCTTCTATGATCTTGCAGATGCCAGCAAGTTTATAATGGTCAGCAGAAAGCGCAGTATACCAACCTTCCCCTAATCTGGTGTCCTCTAGTTATTTTGTATTTGGGTCCTATCACCCCTGCCACAATGGTCCAGAATGCTGGAAGTTGTAGTGCAAAACATCCAGATGAAACCTGGTTGGGGAAGGTTGTAGCATGCTTTTAAGGCTGAGCTAGATCTCTCAATTGCAGCAGCCTACTTTTAATGATGCTAGCAGTTGTGTAAGAAATACTAGCACTGTGTCCTGGCTTTACTTTTAAACTAGGTCCTGAGCAGCTCAGGTAGAAGTGAGCTGGCCCTTTCCCTAAGCAGTGGATCCCTGACCTGCTAATGCTATGTGAATAGGAAGGGTTGCTAACCATGCAGAGAGACACACCCAAAAATAAAGTACTTCTGTGACATGAGAGTGGTATTCAAGGGCCACAGAAATAATCTGGAAAAATACCAATTGGTACTTATAGGTGATTTAGGGCTGGGTTTATTCCAGGAGCACCTGCATGTTTTGCTGCCAAAACACCCCTTGATTTGGGAACTTCCCACAGCAGCTTTCTGTGTTATGGGAGCCAATTTATGAAATACCCTTCCCAAAGAGGTATAACTTGTGCTGACAATGTAATAATTTTATCACCAGGTCAAAACATTTTTGGGCATAAGTTTGATATTTCATGACTTTTATTTTGCTTTTTGTGACTGAATGGCTTTTCTGGTTGTATCAGTTACTAATTGCCCTGATAACTTTTGATAGTGGTTTATAGATAATAATAAAAAAAGACAGAGGGCTTTCCCCAGTGTCTGAAAGTGAACTCTTACCCGTTTGGACCGAAAAGCACTACAACTCTCAGTATACTCCAGCCAGCCATGTTTGTTGAGGGATACTAGGAGTCGTACTTTTTTCTGTCTAAACATCAGTAGGATTGCACCTGTATTCTGGGTGCTACAATAAACCCTGATAGGAAGGACAGCAGGGGTTATGGGGGAAATTGCATTTGGCACTCCTCCCTACATCAATGCTGTTTGTCTCATTCTGCTAAGTGCTTTAAGTTGCATTGATTTGAATAAAAATTTGAACATAACTCTCCCACTTCAAGAATATTTTAAATGTCCATTACTTAATCTTGTCTGGAGCTGCCCTGTGTTTCTAAATAAACTGCTAAAAAGAATGAGGATCAAATGTTAATGGTGTCATAAGTTTCTCAGTATTAACTCTCTCCAACCTGCAGATAGGCCATGAAAAAAGGACATCTGTTTTCTTTCTGGAGATTGCTAATTTTGTGCAAAATAAGATGTCAGTTAGATCCAGTAGTTGGGAGGCCCTGTATGAGAGACACCAGTGCAGCTAAGTGAGTATGTGAGTTGTCTTCTGGCAGCGGCTGCTGCCACCCTTGTTCATTAGTTATTGGTCTAGTGTGATGAGAGATCTGGACTTGCTGTGATACACAAAGGAAGTGGGGCTGAAGTAAAAAGGGGAAGGTGGAGTAACTTGTACTGTGCCCTGCAGAAAGGCAAGGCTGAAGTGCTTCTGAGACCTCTTCAGGCCAAAGCAGGAGTGCAGTTGACCCCCCACAAATAAGTCTCTGCCATTTATGCAGCTTTAAGTGTGATCCCTCCCCTCACATACTTTCCCCACCCACTAATGCAGCCAAAATCTGCACAGCAGCTTAACAATAATGTTCCCTCGGACACTCCTCTCTATTTGGATATGTCACGAATAGATGGGGAAACCGCATAGGTATTTGCCCTCCCTCCCACCAGCAACCCAACTTTGGACAACAGTCACAAGAAGGAATAACCAGTCACTGTAATGACATCTTCTTACATTGTCACATACTTACAAGTTACAATCCAAGAGATTACAACAGCTGCACAGGGCCAATAGTATCAGCTCTGGCACCTCCGCATCCCCCCCGTGTCCCCCCCTCACCTTTCCCACCCCACGGGATAGCACTCTGAGATCCCACCCCTTAGGGCCTGCACTAAAGGTTCTCTCAGAACCTCACGCTGGACTGCCAGTCAAACAGCATAAATTACATTCAGTCTTCAAGAACCAGTGCTGCCCACCCCACCCCACTTTTCCCCTACTGACCACAGGCGCTAGTCCTCAGAAGCCGAGCTGCACTGCACGTCACACGCACACCCTGCCTCTGGCTGGGCTGAGTCCAGTTTCGCTCGCTCTGCCCTGGGGGCAGCAACAATTTAGGTCCTTCCATCTCCACCTAGGGGCTGTGGGGCGCAAGACTATCTCTGATACATTCACGAGCCTGTTCAGCTCCAAAAGGGCAAGGAAAGCCAGAGGCTGCAGAGGGTGGTGTGGTGTGGCGTGGGTGGGCTTGTGGCCCTTAGCTCTGAGAATGGATACAAACCAGAGCCCTGAGACAGAAAGGCAGGCTGGATCTGTGCTGAGCCCAGCAGGCCGGAGCCAGCTACCAAAACAGCTGTGGCTAACCCACCCAGATCTGCCCACGTGGTGGTGGTGGCGGACGGGGGGAGTCATTGTATTACCCTGATCACAGATTTGAAATAAAGCCTGAGACCACATCACTCGTCACAACCACACAGATGCCTCTGCCACAGCAATGGGCATGAGACCTGTAAACACTTGCACCAGGAGAGCTGCCCAACCAGAAAGAGAAGGATTTTATCCTTCAGGGTCTCTAAATGAAGCAATAAATTAAAACAGAAGTAGTAGATAGAAAGAGAGGGAAATCCTTGTAAGGGGCATGGGAGGGAAATCGGGCATTTTACAAACAATCTTTCATTTAAAAAAATGACTTGTTTTAAAGGCCAAGGCCTGTGTTGCTTGCAAGGGCTCCCCCTCAGCAGTGTGGTTCATTCCCCTCAGCAGTGTGCTTGGTGTCCATGGGGGGCAGTGCCGTCAGAGCCCTCCAAGAGGCTCAGGGTTTGCCGCACCCTGTTTGTGTGCCCCCTTCTCAACCTGAGCGCCAGTGGCTTCATCCTTTAGCTGCCCCTTCGAACCATCCACAAGGGTGAAAGATTTCTGAGAATAAGGAGATGGGGGCAACGGCAGCGCCCTTGGGCCTTCAATGGAGCATAATTACATATATTTCAGTGCAAGGATCAGGCCCAGGAGCCTGAGGAGCATTGGCAGAAGGAATGTGTTTCAGTGCGGTTTGGCTAAGGAGAGTGTGTGTGTCACGTCACCAGGTGGGGAGGAGATCCTGAGTCTGCCTGAGGGGAGAGACAAGGCAATTGCTTTGGATTGGGCGCAGCAGAGGACTGCCTGGTAAGTCAGGTTGGTCTAGGCCCCCGCTGTCCCAAGCAGTTTGGAAACATCTTATGCCATTGGCCTGTGCTAGAGCCTCACAAACTGTCAGTCAAATAAAAACGCTTTAAAAAAGAAACAATAACAGACATGAGGAGCATTGTCCTCTGAAGCGGATACCCTCCGCCTTTGGGATTAAAAAAAAAAAATGCTCCAAGAGCAAAGATGGAGGCTGTTTCTTTTTCCAAAAGGACAGGAGGCTGTTTTTAACACCAGGATGGCCCCTTGCTCTCCAGATGCTCTGGCAAACTCTGCTGTAGGGCCTCCTCAGGAGTCTGAGTGGCCAGGGTGTCCCAGCTTTCCCACAGGACTGAAGAGAAAACCCAGCTGCCGCCAGGGGACGAGGAGGAGAGCCTGCACACAGGTGGTTCAGCCCTCCCTGAACCAGCTGTACAGCCATGTGCTTCCAGGGTGGCAAGGACCGCATGTGGCAGGAACCTTCCCTTCCACCCCACATGTGTATGTCTACTGCTGAAGGATAAGAGAGGGCCTGCAGCCCCTCGAACACCCCCGAGTTCAGTTTCATCCTGTAAGCCTGGGGCCCTGGATCCAGAGAGAGCGAGACAAAATGGCTGCCGCTATGAGAGGTTTGCCTAAGCCTGGCACATGATATCTTCTCCGAGCGTATGACCCCTTGCTCTCAGTGCTAACTTCCATGACAGACTTACTCAGCCTCTTCAACACGCACCCGCTTGCGCCACTTGTCATAGGTTTGGGCTCACATAAGAGTTGGTTAGCCGAGGCTCAGTCACCGACCACACTCCAATAACACTGATTTACATTCCACCTTCAAAGCTTGTTACAAACACCAAAAGAAAAGTGGAGGGGAGCCCCACGGAACCACTTGCCTCCCTCCTTTCCAAAAGTCCCCATTCATTAGGAAGACAATGGAACTGTCCCGAGACCTGCTTCTTTCCTCCCAGGGCCGGGACGCCTTGTTCTCTCTTCCCTGCAGGTGTGCTTTACGGCCTGCCTGGAGTGATGGCTCTTGCCCTGGAGACCAGCAGAGCAGCTCCAGGCCTGGCAGTGGGGAGAGCTGTGAGCCCCGGAGGCGGTTCTGGTGCTGGGCCAGTAGCAGCCTGTGCCAAGCAGGGCCTCTGAAGTGGGGCTCCAGGCGGCAGCCACTGCACCCTGTGCGTGACAGGAAGTCATGATCTGAGCTCCTTGGCATATAGTCCAGATGCCAGAGGGGAATGGGGTCTCCCAAGGGAGAGGCGGCATCAGTCACTGCACTTCTGTTGGCACCACTGGGACGGGGAAGAGGCTCCCCCTGGCATGCTACACCAGGGCAGTTCGGGCCTCAGTCCTTCCCATGCTGGCGCTGCTGCTTTTCCGGCGTAGGCCGGGGGTGGCAATAGTGCTGTAGCCTTCATTTGGGCAACCATGTTGTAAGAGGATATCGATGCACTCCTGGCTCCCTGATCGCCGGGCATAGAAGAGTGCCGTGTGCCCTAAGGCATCACGGGCCTTCACATCAGCACTGTACTGTGGGGGGAAAGAATCAGTCAGTCATGTTAGTGTTACCAATTGCAGCACCCCAAAACACCCCAAGAGTAATTGGCCAGAGAAAGGACCCAAAAGTAGTTGGCCAGAGGAAGGCCACATAGTAAAAACACCACAGTTATACTGTCCCAGAAGGGAGAGGGGATAAGAACAAAATTAACTTTGTGTAACCCACAGCTAACACGCTAGCCTGACCTCGAATACGGTAATCAAAGGGACAGTGGAAACTGGCTGTAGCCGCCATGAAAGTTGCAAATGTGCAGGGAGTAAGAACATGGCAAGCCTGTGTGAATCTCGAGCAGGTAAGAAATAGACATGGGAAATGTCTGGTCATTGACAGAAGAAAGGACTCTCTCCAGCACAGGAGGGGGTGCATACATTGATGTATCGATGTATTAGATGTGTATTAGGTGACCTAATTGGTTACCTAGGGTATAAAACGCATGTACTGGGGTGCAACTTTTGAGACACTGTTTTGGACTGAATGTCCCCTTTCGTCTCCCTTTATTCTATGGTGCACTAGAATAAAGCTGATTTTGGCTCTAAGTCTCGTCTCAGGCTCTGTTTGGCTCGGGTCTGGGGTCCACCCGGGTTTGCCTTAGCTGTTAACTGGCTCAGTCCGGTAACAGTTTTGGTGCCCAACGTGGGGCACCGAGTGGACTAACGGCGAATTTTGCCTCAAAATTCTTAAGCCTTCTCCCTCAAAGAACCTCTTTTTGGACGGGTGGACGACCGGCATTAGAGAGCTCTCCCTCAGCATTTGGGCTGAGACAAATTTGGCTGGAAACCTCCACCAGCCATGAGCAGGGCTTGAAAGGGTGGCTGAGAGGAAAACGAGATGGGGAGAGCTAACCCCGACAAGACAACGAGCTCCCAGGTAAGAAAAGCCTCTGGTAAAAAGAGTTAACTGCTTGGAGGAAGACCCGGTTCAAGAAGAAGGGAAAAAAAGAAAAAGAAAAAGAAAAAAAAAACTGCTTGGGGGCAGACCCGGTTCAAAAAGAGGGAAAAGAAAAGGGCCTCCGGTTAGAGTCTGGTGCTGGTAAGAGGCCAGCAAGTTGCCCATCCCTGTCTGACGGGATTGGGTTGACTTACCCTGTCTGAGTTTTGGAAACTCTTTTTGGTATATTACCCTGGTTTGAGTCCAGGGTGAGCGGATCCCGCATAAGTGCGTCAGTACTTTTGACCAGGGACGCTTGGCAGAATTGACAGAAGGAAAATCAAAGAGGTCTGCAAATCCTTCTAAAGGTCTTCTGGGGAACGCTCAGCGCGCATCATGGGACAGGGTAAGTCAAACCAAACAAGTACACCCTTGAGTTGCATTCTAGATAACTGGGATTGGTTTAAAGGTGATTATATTTCAAAGAGGAAATTACAGGAATATTGCAGTTCTGTTTGGCCCCAATGTAAATTGGATGGGGGAGTAAGGTGGCCACCGGATGGGTCGGTTGATTTCCAAATCATTTTGCAGCTGCAGCTTTTCTTCCAACGAGCTGGCAGGTGGACCGAGCATGCTCATGCGCAGGCGTTTGTAACACTTAGAGACAGCCCAGATTTGCTGGAAAAATATGGGCTGACGGCTACCGGAATCCCTGTCCCTAACCCACTAACTGCCCCTCCTGCACCAGGTGAATATTCTCGGCCAAATCCTTCTGCCCCTGTATTGGACACGGGCGTTAAGCCATATGGGAGGAATGGCATGGGACTTGTCCCCTCCACCCTTCCGAGAGCCAGTGAGGGGAGACCATGCCAGAATAAAAATGCAGCAGAGCAGGATAAGGGACTGCAGTCGCCAAATCATGACATCTGCGAACAGCCTCTGGGTTGTCTTTTGGGAAATGGGAAAAAGTTCAGAAGAGATTCCATCTCAAAGAAAAAGAAACTAAATGTCTACTGTAATTCTATTTGGCCCCAGCATCAATTGGACAGTGGGGCAAAGTGGCCACCTGAAGGGTCTATCAATTTTCAGACTCTTTTCAGAACAGTTGCAACTTTACTTTCAACATACCGGTTAACAGTTCAAGCTCCCGCGCAAGCGTTTGATACGTTGACAGTCTGAACTTGCTGGAAAAGTGCAGACTGGTCCCCACTACGGAGGACAGAAAAGAGAAGGAGAGTAGAACTCACTCTCTCCCCTCCAAAAGCCAGCAGCGCAGCGTGGGTATGGGCTTTGGGGAGGGGGGGAGCTCTGGGGATTCTGCCTGGGTGCAGTGGTAGCTTTCATGGCCAGGAGGGCATGAATGGGTGGTTGAATCCTAGCCAAATGGCTGCAGTTTGGAATCACCAGCCCTTCAGTCCTTCAAACTGGCTACCTTTAGGATCCGGGGGGGGGGGGGGGGAGCTTCTCAAGCTAGCAAGTTGCTCCCTCACTCCGAGAGACAGCTCAGCCTGCCATGAGGACTCTGTCCATACGTGCTTCGATTAGCTACTCTTGAGAAAGCCACCCTCATTGCTTGAGGTCTGGGGTGGTCAAAGGGCCATGTTAGGAACCCCAAGAGAGATCTTCCACTTCCACAGACTATTACAGGCACATCTGGAGGGCTTAAAAACTGGCTCTTCGGCTGAGGGGATGACATATTCTGCACTCATTCCCAAGCCCTTACTAGGCTTTATTTGGCACCTTTTATATTTTCCCTCAATTTGTAACAGTTGGCTGGAGGAAGAGCATTATTATTGGCCCTGCACATTCATATTGGCATGTTCCATAATTATTACTTTGGTTTTAAACCATCAAACTGAAAAATAGAAAAATGTGCAGTTAAGCAGAAATTTTGGGGCAAACTCTGCAGCTGATAGTACAGATTGACCTGGGATTAGGAAGCTGCCTTTGACTAGGACCAACTATTGTCATTCTGACCCAGTTTTTTTCACAGTGTAGACTGCATGCTAACTAGAACAGCTCTTCAGGTTCTTGGACAGATGTGTCTTTCTTTAACTACTACTGGCCCTTCTGCATGCAAAGAATATCCTCTGTCACTGAGCCCTGGTCCCTCCCATTTGCACTGGCTGTTGATGTGTGTGTGTGGGGGAGGGGGGCTGGAATCTGGCACCCCCCATATTTTCTCTGCTCCCTTAAGTTTTTTAAATCTATCACAAAAACAGTTTACATTTTCATCTTTAAAAGACCTGCCATTCAGACCTGCCAAAGACTTGCTATCTCTCCACTTTTTTGGCTGTCTAGGGGCCCGATGCAGTACCTAAAAACTCAATAATTATGTGGGTTTTGGCCTCAGTGCAGACTATACTATGCCTGCTGCAAATGGTTGTGAATCATTCCATCAGAAGCCCAGCTGCACTTCTGCATGCTACTGCAAGCTGTCCTAATCCGAGTGGAACATGAGCATGGAAAACACATGTGTGGGATGAATGGTTCAGGGAATCCATTTGACTACAAAAGCTGGCCTGAAAGGGGGAGAGTGGTGGGGGGAAGCCACCAGCCACACAGCAGTTCTGAGTGCTGGCCCTTCAAAAGCCTGTATGTTTTCCTCTAGATAGGATGCCACCCCAACTTAGTATCTTCTTTTAAGCTGGGGAGGAGGAAAAGCAGTGAAAGGGATGCCCTTTTGCCTGCAGATTCTCAGCTGTTTCCTGCATCTGCTATGAAGAACTTACCCAGACTAGAAGCTGGGTGATAACCACGTGTGACAGGTCGCATGCCACATGCAGAGCTGTGCGCCGGTCCTTGTCCCCTGTAGGGGCATTGATCTGCTCCTTGGAACTATGGGCTAGCAACAGCAGCACAGCAGGCAGGTCCTGGTCCAGCACGGCCTGGAAGAGCTGGCACCCCAGGGAGAGTTCGGAGTTGGGTAGTGGTGCCAGGAACAGCCGCTGCTCGTATTTGGCTCGAATCCAGGACTCCCGCTCTTCCCTGAGAAAAGAGAAAGAGCCAGAGAAAGAGAGAGACTGAGACTGCTGGGGAACAAGAACAGGAGGGGGCCACTGCCTCTTTGACCTGCATGTGGGCTTCCCATTGGCATCGTGCTGATTGCTGTGAGAAACAGGAGGTTGGACTACAGGGGCCCTTTGGTCTGATCCATCCAGCAGGGCTCTTCTTCAACAGAGAGCTCAAGATCATCCTGGTAATAGAAGAATGAGAAGCTACCCTAGCAAGAGAAGCATAAAGGGAAGAAACAAAAACCATCGATGATGTGGCTTATTGCAAGAGTTTCCAAAATTATTCTTTTGCTTGCTACTAAATAGCATGACAAACTTTAATCCACAAAGAGCACAGTTCAGCCAAAGTGTTCAGCTCCTCTGAGCCCAATGGGATAAGGCTATGCACATGCTTAATTTCTCCCCAGCATTCTGCCTGGCACAAATCAATGGCGTTCAATGTGGATAAGTGCAAGGTCTTGCACTTGGGGCATAGGAATAGGTGTCATAAGTACAGGTTAGGTGACAAGTGGCTGGAGAGCAGCACTTGTGAAGGGGACCTCGGGGTACTGGTTGACTGCAGGCTAAACATGAGTCAGCAGTGTGATGCGGTGGTCAAGAGGGTGAATGCCACCCTTAGTTGCATAGCCAGAAGTGTGGCTCCTAGATCAAGAGAGGTATTACTACCACTCTACACGATTCTGGTGCGCCCGCAACTGGAGTATTGTATTCAGTTTTGGGCCCCTCATTACAGAAAGGATATAGCCAGGTTGGAGCCAGTGCAGCGAAGGGTCACAAGGTTGATGGCTGGTTTGCAGGGGATGCCGTATGAGGCAAGACTGAGGGAACTGGGTCTCTTCAGCCTGGAGAAGAGGAGGCTCAGAGGGGATATGTTGGCAACATACAGGTATGTGAGGGAATGTCACACGGAGGTGGGTAGAGACCTGTTCTGCCCTGCAGAGGAAGGCAGGACGTGCTCCAACGGAGCAAAGCTCAGGGAACCCAGGTTCCATTTGGATGCCAGGAAGCACTTCCTGACAGTCAGGACCCCGAGGGTGTGGAATGGGCTTCCACGAGAGGTCGTTGAGGCCACATCAGTGAGGGTGTTCAAAGATAGGCTGGACATGCACATGGTGGGCATGTCGTGAGCACTGCCGGCTGGAGCCGGCGGTCAGACTAGATGGCCTGGGAGGCCCCTTCTGACTCTCTTTGTTTCTGTGTTTCTAATTACATGTGTAAAACTTTAGCTGCATCATGCCAATTAGAAGTTTAACAGAGTAGTTCTATATGTTTACTAAGAAGACAAGTTCCACTAGGAATGGTTTGCACCCACATAGGTGCACATATGATTGTAGTCTTGGGCTTCTGAGGCTGTAGCCAGCATTGCCAATGGCCGAGAATTCATGGGAGTTGCAGACCAACACATCTGGAAGGAGCCAGGGAAGAGATGGCTGTGTAGCAGCAGGACACTGTTCCCATGTTCACTCACCGGGATGACTCGCAGGTGGGTTTCCGGCGTCCCTGCGTGCACTTCTCCCAGACGCTGTTGGCTGTTTCATTGCCGATGGAGGTGAGTACCAGTGTGAGCTCCAGGGGCCAGTCATCCAGGTCTAGGGAGCGCACCCGGGACAAGTGGGTCCCCAGATTCCGGTGGATGCCAGAACACTCGATACAGATCAGTGCACCCAAGTTCAGGCTGGCCCAGGTGGGGTCTGGGGCAAAGAAATTGGGCCAATCAGAAATCAGGGATGGCTTACCTTTAATCATCAAAAAGGAGACAGCCACATGTGAAAGGTCTACGTATTCTACGTGCAAGTGAGATAGAGGGATAACAACTAGCTATGACTAAGAGAATTTGAGCCTAGGTCTCCGTATTCCTACTCAGACACACTAATCCAGGGGTATGAATAGGGCTTTAATTCATAGGGTTGCCATAAGTTGGAGACAACTTGATGATACCTAACTACAAACATTCAGAGGTGGACTGAAAATGTCCTTCTGTATCTTTTAGACGTTCAGCTCCCAGCATTTGGCCATTGGCCATGCTGATCCGGACTTCTGGGGTCTGAAGTCCAAAACATCTAGAGATCTAGCTCCTGCCCACCTGCTCTTTAGTTACTACACCATTGTGCTGCCTCAGGCTCACGCTTCCCCTTTCCCTCTGCTGTCTTTTAAGTGTCGCTTGCTCAGACAATGGAGTTCTGATTAGTGCAATGGTCATCTCATTTGCCAGCAAAATATTGCCTAAACCAGTGATGGCGAACCTTTTAGAGCCCAAGTGCCCAAACAGCAACCCAAAACCCACTTATTTATTGCAAAGTGCCAACACTGCAATAAAACATGAATACTGAGGTTTTAGTTTAGAAAAAACAATGCACAACCAGTCCAAGCAAATATATGTATTTCCTTGGCAGCGCACTGACTGGCCATGCGAAAGCACGGATGAGTTGCAGCTAATGAGTATGCGCATGGCCCCTATGTGTGCTGTTCTCCAATACTTGGCTGCTGGGGTGGCTTGGCTCACGTGCCGACAGAGAGGGCTCTGCATGCCCGCTGTGGCACGCGTGCCATAGGTTCGCCACCAGTGGCCTAAACCCTCACCCCCACAGTTCCATGACCCCTCACTCACAACCCATTTAAGCCAATATGGTCAAGTTCAGCCCTCCTCAATTTGGTGCCCTCAAGAAGGTTTGGATGCCAATTCCCGTCAGCCCCAGCCATCCTAGGAAAGGGTCAGGAATGCTGGGAGCTGTAGCCCAAACACCCCTGCATGGAATTAGGTTGGAGAATATTTGCCTTAAATCAGGAAACCCCATGTTCAAAACGCTGTTCTGGGAAGCTCCCTGGGTAGTCTTGGATGCATTACTCTCAATCTGTTCAACCTTTTGGGCACAGCCATTGCCAAGATAAGTGGGGGGTGGGGGGTAGATGCTATTTTGAGCTCTCTGAAGCAAGAACAAAATTAAAAGTATAAAAGCTTTAAAAAATAACCCACAGTGATTTTATTATTTTATTTGAAGAAAGCTGTGTTAGTTTATGATTTAGAATTGGCATTTAACAGCAACTAAGATTTGTATAACGACTTACTAGAAAATAGTTAATACTTCATCTAGCGAGGACTGGTATCAGAAAATATGGTGCATTATTGTTACACTTAAAACCGTTTTTTTTAAGAAACCCAGGGAAGGAAATGCAATGGAATTATGAAAAAGGGGATCTTATCTGTGGCATGTTGAAATTATAATGTTCTAGATGTTGTTCAATCAGTTGTATTTTTTCTTACTATGAATTGAAAATCTAACTTGAATTTCAGTGTGATATTTGAAGTGATCACCATCTTCGTATAAGCTTTTCTTCAGAATTGTTGATTGCTGCTCACTCCTGCTACCCTGCTTATCACCCTGATGTTTTTCTACAATACTTTGTAAGTCTATAGGCAGAAGCTACATACCCTTCTTTGTTTTGTACAGCACCTGGCACATGAAATAAACATTAAATATAAGTTATGCTAATATGTCTTATATAGCTATATAAAAGCTGTATAACTCAGAACCCTCAGGCTTGGGGGCCAAATCTGGGTTCTCCAGTTGACTATGCAGCCCACCAGCATCCTCCAGGTAGCTATGCCTCCTTCCGTTGGCCCTACCCTTTTCCACCAATCCCTTGGTGGTTTACTGGCATTTGTATGGAGTTTTTTCCCTACTCAGAAAGGTTGGCAGCAAAGTCTTTAAGGTAAAATACGCTGGCATTTTTGATATTTCACCCCTATCCACCCATACAAATGATGTTAAAAGCTTCTCCAAAATTGAACTTAGCCCTTGGACTGAAAGAGGTTCTGTATTCCTGCTGGAATCTTTGTCCAGTTGATGACAATTCTACAGAACTGTGCAAGGCTGACCAACTGCACTGGCCAACTCTAGCACTGTCAGCCCTAATTATAGCCTACTGCCCCTCAAGAAAACACTTTAGCTCCCAAGACTCAGTTGCACATGTGAAAGACTTACTTGGTGCCCCACAGTCCACACACAAGGAGTTGCCTTTAGCATTACGAATTGCCTGAATAGCCACTGCTTCACTCTGACTGTCCATCCGAGCCTGCAGGGACGACAGGAGAAAGGTACATGCTAGGATACACACACTCGGTTGGGTCTGTTCCGAGGCTTGAGCCTTAAGTGTGTTGGAAGTGCCCCCTCATCCCCCGGTCCTGATGGAGGCCCCACAAAGTCGAGTGAGGTCAGCTTAAGCCCTGCTCATCGTTTAGATCCTCCTCTTCAACATGCGTGTGAACGTCTTGTTTTTCATACCATCTTGTTTTCCCCATCCCTAAATGCAACAGCCTTCTGCTCCAAATGCCTTCTGCATTTGAAGTGATATTAAGAGGGTGGGTCATACAAAATAGGGCATTTTTCCATGATGGCACACACTTTATGAAGCATTCCACACAAGGAAGTTCACCAAGGAATATTCATCTTCCTCCCCGCCAACAACAGTAAAAGCTCTCAGATTCCAAGATGGCTTCGGAACGAGACAGATGTGATTAACGGAGTTCATTTATCATGCCGGTATTACTCGGCAGCAGGTCGTGGGAGACTCATCTAAGCCCTGTCGGGATAAAGACAGATTGCCTGGGCACGCTTTTGGCTTGATGCGAGATGGCAATCTCATATCTGCTGAGAGCAATTCAGGTACTTCTCAACCGAGTAACACGGGGTGGTTTCAGCCCCTTCAAATTCTCGACATTTTAGAAGATTAGCTTAGGATTTTTATTAGCTAGATAAGTATTGGAACTCCTGAGTAAATATTTTTTACTTCTTTCACAATATTACCCGTGGAAAAGCTGTATTTGTTTATAGTTTGGCATTAAGTAAAAAAAAACCCTCTGGATGTTTAGGTGGCGACTGAGATGAGAGAGTGCTGAGGCTTTTGTCCAAGTTGAAGCCGAAGAAAAAGACTTTTTCCTCTAACCTCTCTAAGGGTATAAAATTAGTTTAAATTTTTAAGGTGCAATTACATGATAGGAGTTCAAAGCTTTGACCGATCATTTTGGTATCTGTTTGGACTTCTGCCAAGATCAACTGGACACTTGCCAGGATATTTTTCACATTGTTGGATGCTTTCTTCTTTAATATGACGACTGTTTGGGTGAGCATTCCTATTTTCCTTTTGCAATACTACTTGTGGAAAAACTATATCTGTTGTTAATAGGCATAAAAAAAATAGAAAAGGGAGAAAAGAGGAAGGATATAAGAAACTCCATTTCCTTGCCTGCATTTCTGGGACCTCTGCCAAAGTATTTGGCAACTTGCCAACCTTCTGACCGCTAGTGATCTAGAGAAAAGAAAAGTGGAACTGATCTTGGCTGCCACTTCGTAGCTATTGGAATTATTGCTGCAACAGTAGTAGAGCTGAAGAGATTTTTTTTTGGAAATACAAGAATCTTTAACAATTTTACAAATATCCCAAGAGGTGATGTTGAGACAACAGGAAATCTTCTCAATTGTACTAAAAAAGCTCTTTGATAAGCTTGATGCTTCTTTTAAGGAGATGGTGATTGATGTAGAATCCAAAACTGAACAGAATATACAAGAAATGCAACAAGTACATGAAAAATTTGAAACTGTGGATAAAAGAAACAAATTTGGCCACTAAAGGAAGGAATATATTTCTTTGAAGGATGGATGGATCCTGAATTAACTAAAATTGATTCTGAGAAAGAAGAAACAGTGAAGGTTGATTTGCAGCAAAAAACACAGCCATTGGGAATAAATATTGACCTACAACAAATGCTACAATCACTGAAGATAAAGCAAGAAATAGTGGAGATTGAAATACAGACTCTGAAATACTTTGAAATACAGACTTTGTTGATTTTCAACAAATAACACCAAGGGGAGAAAGATGGGCTAGAGATGTAAAGTTTAAAAATATTGATTTTCAACAAAGCCTATTAAAACAAAAGCGGTTTGGAAGAGGTGTAAAAAAGAAATCTTAAAAAGGAATGGTATAAATGGCTTGGCATGTTTATTGTGGTATGGAAAGGCTAAGGTATATGATTTTAACTGTGGAAGCTTTTCTACATTTAAATGTGTTGAATTATGAAGAGAATATAAGATAAGATTTAAACTGAACTAAGAAGGAGAAGAATAGGAGTGGAGTCCCCCTCCCCCTTTTTTCCTCTTCTTTGTGGGTAATATAAGGGAAAATGAGAGATTCTTTTCTTTTTCTTTTTCTTTTTTTATCTTAAAAATGAATGACCAAAAGCTAAGTTGTATGACTCTTTTGTCTTTGAATTGCTATACTAGAAAATGACTATTATGGGAGTAGGAGAAGCTGTACTAAATAGATTTCTTTTTACAAGCAAGATATATTAAAGATTGTAAGGAGTTGGACTCTTATAAGGAGTTAATTGTATGTGACTAAGTGAAGTGTAAGCTAGATTAAACTTTAATAAATTAGCTTAAAGAAAGTTTGTTTAAAAGATATCATAGATAATTGTTGTCGTTAAATAGATTAGATAAGATGTCCTTAAAGATGCTAAATGGATGTTAGACATGTGAACATAAATTGGGTTAAAAGTCTTTAGTTCTTTTTTAAGCTTGGAACTTTTCTTCTCTTTCACTTTCCTTTTTAGTGGATATTAGACTGGAATACTAGTAAGCAAAAATGTATTTGATCGTATTTGTAACTATTATAATGAGGAATTTATCTGTTTAATATTAGAAAAATGAAAAGATCTGGAATTGTGTAGAGTTGGTTAGATTGAAGCTACTATCGAAGAAGAAAGAAGATATTGACTTTTATCAAATTTGGAGAGTCTTTCTTTTAATATTGGTCAAGGAAAACGGGACTCTGTAAGAAATGGATGGACTGATCTTACCACAGAAGGAGAAAGAAGATAGTGACTTCTATCAAATTTGGAACCTTTTTTTTTTTATTGGCTGGAGAAACGGGACTTGGTTGAGATCTGAAAATGTTTTTTAAGATTCCATAAATGGATCTGAATATGATTACAGAATGTTAAAAGATATGTAGTAAGGGGCTGACTCAGTAGTTCTGATGTTTGTGATGATTGATGTTTTTAGTACTGTTTTAAAATTTAATTAAAAAGTACTGCAAAAAAAAAAAAACAGTAAAAGCTCTCACGATATGAGAGGGGGGGGTGGGGGCGGGGGGGCAAAGGGGGGGGGGGGGGGGGAGATGTGACATGTGTGTGCATGGAGGGAGGGTCCCCCAAAATCAGGCAGAGAAACCTTTTACAAGTGGAGTGCTTCCTCTTCATGAAATCAGACCCTCGGTAGAGTTCTAGGTGTTTACTTTGTTCTGTGTTTTGTGTATTTTTATGAGAGTCACGTCAATTTTTTATTTAATTCTGTAGGGAGTTGACAATTACTTCCAAATAATGGCCAAATTCCTCCCATTGAGACTACAAATGCTTTTGGAGTATTACCACTTCAGACTATAGATGGGGGCTCACTTCTTTTTACATCTTCTTCCCCACTGCTCTTTTGACATGCAAGCTCCTTGGGAAGGGACTTGTGGTGGGGGGGGCTATGCTCTGAGGTACCATATACTTTAATGGAGCTAAGTAAATCATGGTAATTTGTACCAGCTTTGCAGCTTCTGCATTACTAGGAGTGTCACGGGTGCCTACTATAGCTGAAAGCCCTTGCTTTGTTCAGGTCAGGAGCAAATCTACCTGAGGTAACAAGGCATTCAAGTTTATAATGTTTTTAGAGCAGTGGTGCAACTTACAGAATTTATTCCAAATGTACTTGTTCCTAACCAGGGATAACTTAGTCCCATAAGCAAAGTCTGCGTCCTGGGGATAGGGAGAGGCAGGGGATGGTTCTACAAGTCTGAAACAGATGTCTGGTGTACTGATTGGCCAGCATCTGTGATGTCACAAAGAAATGCCCAATTCAGATGTGGGATGCAGGTGTGAACTTTTTTTTTTTAAGTTCCCTTTTAAAAAAATGAGGCAATGCATGAATGAGTAAAGCATGAACAATGTAGACATCCCATCTGAAGCAGATGGGAGGGGCAAGACTGAAAGCTATGTTAGGAACCGATCCGCTCATATGCTATTTCATCTGGGAAACCAGCAAGAAGAGGGCTTATCCTGCAGCTGAAGGGCCATTCTGTGTACCTTAGTTTTACATGACAGCAATCTTCACCCTTAGCTTCCTTCTCCTGACCACCACCTGCCTTCTTTCCTCCCAACTCCTTAGCTCCTGTTGAGCCTGGATAACTCTGTTAATGCTCCATGATCACCTTTCCCAGGGATTTCCGTGCCAGAGGCTGCCTGTTTGCCTAATTGTGTGGGTCCTCTGGTTTTTCTGGCCCTCCAAACCACTGCAAGTTTGACCTTGCATGAGTACAAGGCCATCACTTCCAGGGGGTGGAAGAAAAGAACAGTATTGTTCCAGTGCAGTTTTAGCTGAACATTCATACAGTGATCTGAAAAACTTGCCATAAAACCTAATTCTTGTATTATATCCCTCCTTAGACCCTCCAAGGTTATCCCCCTCAGCTGACCAAAAACTTTCCTTCTTTCTCAAATGCCAATGCATTCTCCTTACTGCATGGAACTCCCTCCCTTGACATTTAATGGAGCCATCTAGAAACATTAGAAGGGACCAGGAAAGGCCATGTGGTCCAAACTCTGGCTGATGCAGGAAATCCGTGAGGTACAATCCAAAGTTGTCCCTCCCTCCTTTCAAACTTTACCTTTTCCACAAGGCCTTTGGCTTCTCTCAAATCTCATTTCCAGCTGTAACCAAGTAATAGCATTTGCTCACAGTCCTCCTCCTCTGCCCTTGTCTCTCTTCTCCAATTTGTTTTCCCTATTGCCTGCTCTCGATAGCAAGCCTCTTGGGAGCAGGCACTTAACCAGGTTGCCTACCTAGCTCTGTAAGGTGTCACATCCATGAATGGGTCAATAGTAATAACAACCATCATAGTGGCTACCTAGGGAACCAGTATTAAAGATAAGCCACAATCACTGCTGTGCACATTGCCCCACCCTAACCCCAGCCAGTCAGTACCTTATTCTTGCTGCTCTCACAGCACTGCAGGCTAGCCAAGATCTGGCTCTCGATGGCCTGGACCCAGGAGTCTCTCTCCTCGAAGCTGCTGGCCTCAAAGTGCCAGGTCTGCCCTGTGCTGGAGACGATGATGAACTCAAAGTTCTCCTCCTCTGTGGATGCGAAAGAGCAGGCTCAGGCGGGACACGCAGCTGATTCTGGGGCCATCCAATGCTAGAGGACCTACAGCTTCCACCCAATGCTGGGGATGTTTCCCCTCCCAGTGTTCACCTGGGTGGGGGATTTGACAAGGCCGGGGGGGACATGCCCACTTACCCAAACACTGCCCTGTGAAGGGGGACAGAAATAGATGGGAGAGGGGAACTACACTTTGTGCTAGGTGACAGCAGAGTCCTTTAAACTGAGCCCGAGAGAAGGATTTGGGGTTATCACTTCTCTTGAGACAGGGGTCCCACCATTTCAGTATTCAGGTATATGCCCCTGGCAATATTGTACTAACTTGGTGACTCCAAATTTATTTGTGGAGCACTGCAAAATCTCAGTCCGCTTACTCTCACTCTACCATGCTGTAAGGTCAGTTGCTCATTCCCATGTTAAAGGTGGGGAGCTGAGGCTGGGATGCATGTGGAAAGGTGATGTAGCCAAGCCCACACTGTGGGTCCATGGCAGAGATGGGGCTTGGATCCTGACCTGCCCAGGAGCAGGTCTGCTTTGGCTACAGCTAGAACGTTTGGCCACTTGAGAACCAGCCAAGATGGCAACCCTGGAAAGCAGGAGAAGAGTGCCCAAGGATGAGACGTCCAAGCAGCCCATCTGGTCAAGCTGATAGGCGTCTGACTCCCTTATCTGCTGAATACTTTGGGAGGAGGAGGAAAGGGTGCAGGTGGAGGAGAGGAAAAAGCAGCTCCTGAAGGCAAGATCTAGCTCCAAGTTCTGATCAGGCAGGCAGAAATCACTGCCTCTATTTCCTAGTGGTTTGGCAGGGAACTGGGAGAGAAAGAACTTTTGGGGTTGATTCCTGAGATCCCATAATCCATTGGGCAGGAAGGACACGGGGCATCATTTACACTGCTTTCCACAGAAGTCACCTTGCTGCTTCTCCCCCCTCCCCAACCTTTTATGGGAGTTCTTAAAGATCTATTCACAGAGATGAGAGTGGGGCGGAATTTGTGTGTGCATCCAATGCCATTTAAAGCAGCAGCAGTGTAGACTATTGGCTAGTGTCAGACTAGGAGAAGGGAGACTGGGGGTTGAAATCCTTAATACATCATGAAGCTCAGTGGGTGACTTTGAGCCGGATACTTTGGTTTTGGGAGAACATAAGAGGAAGAAGAAACTTGGACTCTGCCCTGAGCTTGCTGGAGGAAAGGTGGTATAAAAACATAATAAATGCATAAATAATACACATTTTGGCTTGAAGCCAGGAACCTTGTTCCACAGGCACAAGAGTGCTACTGGCAGAATGGGATTCCTGGGGAGATTTGGAAGGTATACTGGCCGGCTCTGTAGAAAAAGTGGAAGTCCCGTACTGCCAGCAGGACCCTTCTAGGTGCAGAACAAGGGTCCTTGATCCAACCCTTTCTCATCTTTCGAGAGCTTTCAAGTAGAGGCCCCAAAGTAATGCTTGAATAGTATCTTTATTGGGACCAACTAAAAGCAAACAAAAAAGCGGGCAAAGTTGTGACAAATCTGTCAGGAACACTGGGAGTTTAGCCATCTTTCTGTGATAAGGGAGGGACATTTAATAACCCCTTGCTGGCTGGCAGGAAGAGACAGAAAATGAGGGAAACTTGATCACAGGGGACGTCTTTTGGGAACAGACATCTACGCAGGCTGCACGTCACAACGTAAGCACAACTGCATGCAACGAGCGCCATGCCCCAGAAGAGCCTGCGCCTGGCACCGCCGCTCATTACCTGTTTTATAAATATTTCTTAAACTACCAAAGGTTTTTAATTTCCACATTTTACGCTTGGCTGCAGAGGGTCCGGAGGGTAAGCAGGAAGCAAGAGGCAGAGAAACAGAAGGGAGGAAAAGAAGAAAGGGGAGAGAGTTCAGAGGAGGAAAAAAATAAAGAAAGCAGAGGCTATCAGACCCCACAGGCCCAGGGAACAGGGTGGCAGTGGAAGTGGTGGAGGCGTGAAGCGCTGCAAAGGGGCAGTGAGGGAGAAAGCTGTGAGAGGCAGGGCACCCTCTTACTGGACAAGGGGGCACACCGGGAAGGCAGATTCAGAGTGGAAATGAAGGGGTTTGCAACAGCTGCTTAGTGCAGACAAAAAGGGGTAGGAAGTGGGCAGTCCAATGGAATTAGCAGAGCCCCTTCTGGACTCAGAAAAGGCTGGAATTGCCTTCCACAGATCCCACCAGTGTCCACATGACCTCTCTGCATTCTAGCGCGGCACTCCCCTCACAGCATCCCCTTGCCCGCTACTGGGCTATTTCCCTTGGCCTGATTTTGTCTTTCTGAGACCTTCAGGGGTGCAGAACCTCTTTTAGCCTGGGGATTATCCTTTTTTGGGAAGCTCTTGGGGGCCACATTCCAGTGGTGGGTGGGGCTAAAGGGGCAGGCCACAAGCACCAGATATTGTAGCTTAAAGCTCTTCCTGCCTTCGGAGGAGCCTTCCAACCTTTCAGAATGTGAGCACAAATGGGCAAAAGCTGGGAAACCACCAAACAGTTGTTGGTTAGGAAAGGCAGTGGGGTCATAGTTGAACTCCAAGAGGGCCAGATTTCCCTCCTAGGCTGCAGGTCCTGCACCCCTGTTCTAGGTCAAGCAAATTCTCTTTCTGGGGTCCTGCCCCTCCCCCATATGCATTCCCAAGTTGCCCTTTTGTCTTTCATGCATTATTATTTCATATAGGTATCTAAATACGGTGGCTAAACATGACATGGGGGAATTACAAGAGATACTACCACTGTCTTAGGCCACTTCTGATAACCACCGTTTTTAATCTGAATAATAATCCTAGTTCATACATCTTCTCCACATGCACAAGTAACATCTAAGTGTGGGGATACGGAACATATTGATCTCCAATACCCATTAGTCCCAGCCAGCAGGTTTAATGGTCAGGGATGACAACAGTTGTACTCCAACAGGGTCTGGAGGGCCACACCTTCCCCAGCCCTGATCTCATGTGACCCACAAAGTCATGCAGAGATTCAGTCCTCACTCCCTTCCACCTGTCTTTGCACCTGGGCTTTTGTATGGTTCATGATAAATATTCTCTGCATGGTGAAAAGGTGTCCTCACTTTCCAATGTGAGCAAGTATAGCCTGGCGTATGGTCCCTAGGAACATGGCTGTTTATTTCTAATGCTACAAGGGGCCCACTGTTTTCCTGCTTTAACAAATATATGGCATCTTACAAGTTCATGATCTCACCTGCAAAGTTGTCTTTATTACTAGTGGGGGCTGTAGTTTTTCCTGCACTAGGAAATGGTGGGAATGGTATTTCTGAGGTCATGAAAATATTAACACCCATGTGTGTAATCTGGACCAATATGATGTCACTAGGGAAGTCACTTTTAAAAAGTAAGACAAGTCTTTCCCACTAACTGGAACAGAGAAAAGTGAGGTTCTGAGTGTCAGGAACCCAGTATTTAGTCTCCAAAACAGGATTTACTTCAACACTAACGGCCAACAGCGCTGTCAAGCTGCCTCTTACCTTCTGCCTGTCCTGCTGATCCCTCAGTTTTTGAAGGGGTTGTGAGCTTCTTCCGCCTGTGTTTCTTTCTGTCAATCATAGGGGATGGAGGCGGGTCTTTGCCACTGCTGCCAGGACTAGATAGTCCTTCTGCAGCCATGGCCACCTCTGCAGAAATAGGTGGAGAAACAGATCACATGGCTGGTAACTAGCCCTTTCTCTCCTTGGGTCATAAGGGCCTACCCTTTCCCTTTCCCTGCATCCTCAGCTCCTTGGGCACTTCCAGATCTATGCTGAACTTACCAGCCTTGGAGGAGGACACTGAGCGCTGTAGTCGTTCAGGTTTTCCTAGGAGTTTGAGTGCCGGGTCAGTTGGCGGATTTAGCAGACCTGGACTGGGGCAAGCTGTGGTGAAAAAAAAAAAGAGGAAGAAGAAGAATGGACTGAGGAAGCTCAGAACCCAAGTACATCTGCCCAGGTGTTGTTATCTGTGGTAAATATGCACAGGATTAAATATGCAAGGTATAAACAGAAGTTTTCCCCAGGCATTCTAAGGTCTTTTCCAATGGAGCAACTGGATATTTATTTTTATTCTGAACCAAGAGAAAATCCAGGAGTGTTTAAAGCGAGAGTGGCCAGGTGTCTTACCTGATGTTCCTCTATTTTGGAAAGTTTGGGTAGACAGTCCTGTATTGAAACATGTCCTCTGTTTGGAATGTGTCTGGTTCATGGACAGTTTCCATATAAAGAACTTACACCAAGAGTACTTAGAGAGTTGGCAGGGGTTCTCTCATGCCCACTGGTCTCCATTTTTGAGACCTCGTGGAGAACGGGTGAAGTTCCAAAGGACCGGACGGTGGCATCAGTGGTCCCAATTTTCAAAAAGGGTAGTAGAAGGGACACGGGGAATTACAGACCAGTTAGCCTTACGTCCATTGTAGGAAAAACAATGGAAAGGCTCATAATAGAGAGAGATCTAGTGATGCTAGATAGGGAAGGGAGGCTGGCAGCCACACAACATGGCTTCCACAAAAACAGGTCCTGCCAGACAAACCTTGTGGAATTCTACGACAAGGTTTCGAGATGGCTAGATGGAGAGGATGCAGTGGATGTGGTTTACCTGGATTTCAGCAAGGTCTTTGACAAAGTGCCCCATGATATCCAGGTGGAGAAACTGAGGAGTTTTGGGATGCACCAAAGCACTCTCCAATGGATTAGGGCATGGTTGACTGACAGAAACCAGAGGGTAACCATTAGTGGGGAATCATTGGGATGGTGGCCAGTGAAAAGCGGGGTCCCCCAGGGCTCTGTCCCGGGGCGATCCTGTTTAATCTTTTCATAAATGACATGGAAGAAGGGGTGAACAGTCTGCTGATCAAATTCGCAGATGATACTAAAACGGGGGCAGTGGCCAAAACTGAGGAGCAGGTACTCCAGATCCAAAAGGATCTGGACAGACTATGGAAGTGGGCAGGAGACAACAGGATGGAGTTCAATGTGGAAAAGTGCAAGGTCTTGCACTTGGGCCATACGAATATGTGTCATAAGTACAGGTTACGGGACAAGTGGCTGGAGAGCAGCACTTGAGAAAGGGACCTCAGGGTGCTGGTTGACTGCAGGCTAAACATGAGTCAGCAGTGTGATGCGGTGGTCAAGAGGGTGAACACCACCCTTGGTTTCGAAGTCAGAAGTGTGGCTTCTAGATCGAGAGAGGTATTACTACCACTCTATATGACTCTGGTGCGCCTGCAACTGGAGTATTGTGCTCAGTTTTGGGCCCCTCATTACAGGAAGGATATAGCCAGGTTAGAGTCAGTACAGCATAGGGCCACAAGGTTGGTGGCCAGTTTGCAGGGGATGCCATATGAGGCAAGACTGAGGGAACTGGGTCTCTTCGGCCTGGAGAAGAGGAGCCTCAGAGGGGATATGTTGGCGACATACAGGTATGTGAGGGGATGTCACACGGAGATGGGTAGAGACCTGTTCTCCCCTGCAGAGGAAGGCAGGACGTGCTCCAACAGAGCAAAGCTCAGGGAACCAGGTTCCATTTAGATGCCAGGAAGCACTTCCCGACAGTGAGGACCCCGAGGGTGTGGAATGGGCTTCCATGAGAGGTCATTGAGGCCCCATTGGTGAGGGTTTTCAAAGATGGTGGGCATGTCGTGAGCGGAGCCAGCTGGAGCCGGGGGTCAGACTAGATGGCACGAGAGGCCCCTTCTGACTCACTCTGTTTCTATGTTTCTATTTCTGTTGTTGCTAGTTGCAAAGCCGTGTGTGACCCTTCGCAACCTCATGGACAACACTCCTCCAGGCCTTCCTGTCCTCCACCATCCCCCGGAGCCCACTTAAGCTCACAATGGTATTTCTACTTATTCATTATGTCTAAATATGCATATGGAAATGTTATGCAAATTGAGGTCCTCTGTTTGGCTGAAACAATTCCTCCTTTTTGGTAAGGTAGAAGTGGCCACGCAATCTAGGGCTGAGACTGAAGTTTTCTTCAGCATGTTTTTAGCTCAAAAGTGCTGTGGGGATGGCACCATTCCCTGGCTTGCCCTTTGCTCTTCCCTTCCCTTTTCGTTGATGCTGCTGACATTGTGGCAGCACTCTTCCCATGAACCACCAGTTGGTAGCCACCTTCCTTTCCCACAGAAGCCTGGTGAAGATAGTCCTATGGAAGAAGCACTGCATGAGGAGGACTCTGGGGGTGGTCACTGGTGGCCACCAGGCTGCAGCTCTAAGAAGAACCATCTCTGTGACTGGTGGGCACTTAGGCTCAGCTTTAAATGTCCTCAAACAAGGGAAACTCTAGGAGTTATTGAAGAGTAAGACTGCCTCTGGGGGTCACTGTTGGATCATTTATGCAAAATTTCCAGATTGACTAGAGCTAGTGGGGAGACGCAGGTTTCCACATTTGTGGATTAACCTTGAACATTATTCTCTCTAGAAAATGCTCCAGTTTAACTTGGCACCATCAGGATTTTCTGCCCCAAATCTGATTTAATAAAGTAAACAATTACACAAAATGAAAATGCATCAAATTAATTCAATGCATTTTTCTTTGATTATAGCTTTTTCACAGAGTAGGAGAAGGGGTGCAGCAGTACCCATGGGCCAAGAAATCCAATTACGCAGTGGCATTCGATTGCACAAGAGGAGAAAGCTGTCAAGGTGCCTATCTTTAGAGCCAATAGTCCTTCGGGCAGAGATCTATCCAATTGCAGTAGTACATCTATGGCTGGATCTCAGGGGCCAGAGCCCAAAGCACCCCAGAATTACCAGCTGCACTATTGCCTAATTTGGGGCCCACCAGCTCCATGGAGAGAGAAATCATGGGCTCAACAAATCAACATCTTCATGGCCCCCATGGCAAAACTAAGTCCACGGAACAATGCAGGGTAGCTTCATTAGGGCACAAATACCTAATGCAGATATATGCCAATAGACTAGGAAGGAGAGATGGTTAGGGGACAGTGTGGAGATGTTACCTGAATAATGTTCTACTTTTTGCTGCCTACCTTGGACATCAGAACTCAAGAACCTGAGAGGCCACCATAGATCGTTGGTGTGCAGCTGGGTGACATGTGTTGTAGGCCTGTTGAATGATTACACCTTATGGTGGAAAGAGGTGAACGGCTTCATTGTGAGGTTCAGCCTGTAAGATAGGAGTGCATAAGCTTTTCCAGCTCAAGAGCAAATTCTGTTGTGGAGCTTTTGGCCTCAGTCCAGTGGAGAGTGGGAATGAAGACAAAGGGTGGCAGAGCCAAAATACTTACATATTTTTATCTTAAAACATCTTACCATGGATAGCTAAAGAAGAGGCATTTTAACTGTTTAGAAATAGGAGAAATAGACTGCACAAAAGTCAGGAAGCCATCACATTACTGCTGGTTGAGGGAAAGATGATGTGGCATGAAGGAAGGCTGTCACCTTCTAGGGAAGCCCAGAGAGCTGGGTTTGGATCCTGTGCTTGAAATTCTGCAATAGTTGTTCTTTTTTAAGTGCTTGCTTTTACTTTGCCATGTTCATTGTCTCCTGTTCTCATGTTAATTATATTATATTTTGATATCATATTTTGATATTATATTTTGAAACTGCTGATTTTATCTTGTATTTCATTGTCTTTGTGAGCCGCCCAGAGGCTATGGAGCAACATACAAATGTCATTCATAAATAAATAAATAAAGTGGAACCCATGGAAAAGGTGTCTCCCACAGGCAGCAAACTGTGTGCACAGTGAATTGTGTCCACTCAATGGGCAGTCACCTTTAACCACAGCGATTGTCTTTCCTTTTAAAAGATGCCATATAGAAAATATTGTCCGTGCTCTTCCATCTTTATTGGATCACACGGTAGTTAATTTTGACGTATGTCCTCTGAATAACAATAATCCAAAGACTCATAGTTTGGCCATTGGTTGTGTTGAATTGTAAAATCAGGCTACATTTCCTGAATTCATGAACTTTTGAGCCTCATGCTTATCTTCTTTTTCATTTGTATCATTTGGTGATATAATGCAAATCAATACATGTATACCCAGAAGGAAGTTCCACCAAGTCCAATAAGTGTGTTAACAGGATTGCTACTTAGGTCTGTTTCATGTAGCACATGGGTTTCATACATCTGATCATATCCCACTGGAGTTTCAGAAGATCATCTACGCCTTATCAACTACAGCAAAGCCTTTACTGTGTGGATCACAAGAAGCTATGAAAGAAATGGGGGTGTCTCACACTTGAATGTCCTGATGTGTAATATTGTAGACAATAGGCCGCTGTTAGGAGAGAATATGGAGAAACAGAATAATTTCCTATGGGCAAAAGTGTTAGACAAGGGTATATTTTATCTCCCTATCTGTTCAATATGTATGCAGAAAACATTCTAAGAAAAGCTGGATTAGGATCAGAGGAAGGAGTGAAAATTGGCAGAAGATACATCAATAATTTAAGATATGCATATGATACCATCTTACTGGCAGAAAGCAGCACTGAATCAAAATGACTCCTGATGAGTGTAAAAAGAAAGTACTAAAACAGAACTACACCTGAACATTACAAAAGCAAGAATCATGACTACAGAAGAATTACAGAACTTTACTATCAATGTTCAAGGCACTGAAATTCTGAAAGATTTTGTATACCTTGGCTCAATCATCAATTCTAAGTGAGACTGCAGCCAAGAAATGTGAAGAAGACTGAGACTTGGAAGGGCAACATTGAAAGAACGAGAAAATATGATGAAATGTAAGGAAATTTCACTAGAGACCAAGGCCAAGATCATTCACGCAATTATATTCCCCATCACTATGTATGGGTGTGAAAACTGGACAATGAAGAAAGCTGACAAAAAGAAAATAGGTGTATCTGAAACATGCTGCTGGAGGAGAAGGCACTTTGCAGGGTGTTCATACATAGGGTCGCTATAGGTCAGAAATGACTTGGCACATAACAACAACATCTGGTATTGATACTTTATCATTTATATATTTGATTATTATGTATTAATATATCTACTTGTAATTTCAGCGTGTGACTTTTATTTCCTGCCACCAGTGCATCAACATTTTCAAGAGGGGGCAACTTCATGTTAGAATTTTGTTTCTGTTTGAGCAGAATATATCTATAAATCAGTAAGACCCACTTCAGATTTCCTGCATGGAAATCATTTTAGAAAAGAATTGATATTTGCACACAGATTGCAACATCATTTCACAGCATGTACATGTGCTATAAAAAACCACCAATCATGATTTCCCAGCATTTTTCATACTGTGACAACCATCACTTATGACACATGAGCTTATCTCTCTTCAACCCCCAATGTGGATGCATTTTCCATCTAGGAAATGCATCATGTTTCAAGCAGGCTTTAGTGTGAAAACACTGCCTGCTGTTTTTCATAATTTCTTTCTGTTACACTCTTCTAGGCTGCTACTAATTAAGGTTAAACAAAAGTGTGACCACATCCCCATCACAGTGCAAACTGGGGGCAGAGGGAAGAGTGAGGGTCCCTCCCCCCTCGCCTCTCTTGACTATAGTTTCACAGAGAAATGCAAAAAAGGGAAACATAATTTATCAGGGTGTGAACGAACACAGTAATTACACACACACACTATATACACTATTACTCCTTTGGCAGATCTTCCACCTGATAGTCATCTGCTGCCAAAGACACCCCACTTCAGCATGACAGGGCTTTAGGAAGCTGCAGCTACAGCCTCTGATATTTGCCTATCCTCTCATCAGGGAGGATCATGTGACCAATCTCCATGGCAGCATCAGCGGGCCCCAGGTTGGTGGGGCACTGGTGGGCATCAGTGTGCTGTAGCATAGAAAGTAAGCCTCCAGCTGTCTTGGATACCGATTCCCAGCACGCCTGACCCTTGGTCATGTCGGCAGTGCCTCCTGGGAGCTGAAGTCCAAAACATCTGCAGATCTACCTTCTGCTCACCTGTAGTGCACGGGACAGAATAGAGGACTGAGACTGGGGAGACCTGGATTCAAAACTTTACCCTGCTACAGAACTCATGGGTGAGCCTGGGAGAGTCACCTTCTATCAACCCAACCTGCCAACACAGTAGGGCTGGGAGTACAAAACAGGGTGGGGGAAGTTCCTAATACTTTACCCTGATATCCTTGGAGAAAGGATGGGTTAAGTATGGTTGTCGTCCTCCTGAATGACCAAATTACAGGACGTACATATGTTACAGCTATGGCAAGAGAACCCATTCTGCTGAAGCACATATCATTACTGGTGGCAACAGCACCACAGTAGATGAGAACCGGAAACTACATGCTGTAAGATTCAGTTCTAATGAGAAAACATATACACATAAATGAGGTTATGTTTGATTTCCCATTCAAGAGGAAACACAGACAGAAGAATAGGCAGCTTTGCTGGCACATTGGTTGATCTCTACTTACAACAGAGATGGGACATCAGTGGCTTTCCAGGTTGCTGGAATACAAGTCCCAGCACCCTTGCCCCTGACAGAAACTGGTGTCTGACAATATTTGGAAGGTCACTGGTGCCTCACTGCTGACTTGCAGCACAGACAGCAGGGCTATTCAGGCAAGTTGAGGTTATGCCTTATACAGCAGAGTCTTGGTCCATGTCTATCAGACACCACTATGTCTCCTTAATAAGGACTCATGTTAAGCCAGCTAATTGCCTGAGGTGTAATACAAGTAAAACTGTCTTTTAAGCATAACATTTAACAAGGTCCAATAGCTGTTGCTTTTTTGGAAAGCAGTTTTATGTGGATAATTCTTGTGTTTGGAACACTCATATTTATTGATGTACATGTCCTTTTAAAGCAGGGGTCTCAAACTCAACTGACCTGGGGGCCGCTGGAAGTAGAGGCTGGGCCGCATCGAGTATCCCACCACCGCGGGGGTGGTGGGCCACTCATCTGGAGGCCGGCCCGGGTGCCGCCAGAGCTTTGAAGGCCGCAGGGCCCCTCCCCCGCCCGTCGCAGCAATGGGCCCACGAGTTTGAGACCCCTGTTTTAAATTATCTACCTGCTTCCTGGAAATTAACACACAATCAGCACAAATGCATTCTCTGTACTTTTTTTTTTACAGCTAAAAGGCTAACAACACTGGAAGCATAACACTCCTCTTCTATAATGAAATGAACCAAAGACTTAACAACACTTTTAACATGTGAACAGGTGGCATACAGATACCCCTTGTGCATGGATGCTTATATGGATACTTGACCTGCTTTTGATTAGCTTTATGTATAATTCTTAGAAAGTTCATGCATACACATTTCATATGCATACATTGTAATTATTTTCCAGTCCATGGTTTTTTTAAATTAATTAATTAATTTCTATACTGCCCCATAAATGAAGATGTCTGGGCAGTTTACAACAATGTATAAAATAAAAAGCAGGTACTTCTTTTTCTTTTCCTCTTTTTGGTTTTGTTAGGTATGCCAATTGATTTTTTAATAATGCATTCCCATTCAGCTTATATTCAGAGGTGGCTGATTCATTACCTATTTACAGAAGAGAAACAACACGAGGAAGGAGATCTTATATTGAATCGAAAACAGCAAATAACCACAAGAACAGAGATAACTGCTATTACATTCGTTGTACATGCTGCTTAAATATGCTAAGCCTGATATTGTGAAATGGACCAAGGTGTGGGGAAAATTGTTCTAAAAATTAGGTTTCTCATACTCACTGATAGCTTCTGGTTTTGTGTGTGAGGGGAAAAGAACTATCGTCAAAGTGAAGAAAAATACAGTTAAGGATCAAACTCCTCTCCTGCAAGACTGCTTTAGAGCTTTTCCTATTTTAAATGGCCAGTGATCCCATCATAGTTCTCCCATGCCACCTTTATTTTGCCTCTGCCATAGGCTCACGTCACTTACTGCTGTCTCCCACTCCAACGCTGCTCACATCTTTAACCAGGCCATTAATGCTTGAAGAAGCACCACAGGCTGAGATAGCTCTAGGTGGACGTTTCCCAGGCACCTTGACGGTAGTCCGCAGCAAGTCCATTTCTTTGCCATGAGTGCCATGGATATAATCCTGGAATGGCAAGGAGAACAGGTGAAGTCAGCTTAGGGAATTGGATCAGCAATTCACCCTAGCTTTCTTTATTATTTCTAAATATTAGACAAAGGCTTGATCCTTTGAAATCAAGAAGAGGGTCAGAAATTTGCATTTGTTTCCTCTACATACACTGAAAGAAGAGGGAGAACTCTACCCTTTAACAACCTTGATAATGTGAACAGAAGGATGATAGAATGGTGTTTTCTGGTCAGCATTTTATACTGCAATCACCCTGCCCCAAACAATATTTTATGGTGGGGTCAGGGCAGGTTGTCCAGACTTTTTTTTCATAGGAAAGAAAGCTTTCATATGAAACCCTTCTGTGTTTTCCCACTATCTCTTCCACCATTCTTCATACCATAAAAAACAATTAAGTGGGGTGAAGGGGATAAAATGGAATAGTTGCACAATGCATTATGATTTGAAAAGGCTCAACTCTTAAAATGTGACATAAAAATCATGTGAAATACACAGCCACAACATTAAACATGGCAGTATGGAAGCCCCGTCGGTATTTTAGAGGGGAATTATTTCATGATTCTGAGCGTGGTTTTCCTCATTCCAACATTCTCATCTAGTGAATTGTTGCCAGTCTCTGGCCCCTCAGTGGGGACTCTGCTGCCCCTGAGAGTGTCTCTTCCTATGTACGTGCTTCCTATGCCCACTGCTTAGAACACGATCTGCTCAGAAGCGAGGTCAACTCCCAGCATTACTCCTGTTAATGCTTATAGGCCTGCAGATCCTGTTCATTGCTCTGCTCTTTATTATTTTTATTAGTGCAGCGTGTGTGCTTTAATATACTGCTTTTATGCTTTTGGTATATACCCAAGTATTGTCACTGCTCATTTCACTGGGCAGGCTGCTTGTCCATTTAACCTAACCAAACCAAGCCAAACCAAACCAACCAAACCAAGATTCCCACCTCGTTGATGAGAAATAGCAACCCTGGAATAGGAAGCACAGGTCACATGAGCTTCCTACTATTTTTCAGTGCAAGTGTAGCTAAGGCACTTTCGTATGCATGTTTAATGACAAGAAGCTCTACTGCTCCCAGCATTCCTGTCAACCACATTGGCTGAGGAATGCTGGGAGTTGAAGGCCTTTTTCTTAAGCATGCATAGGATTGTGTGCACAAGTAGCCCTAGTAGCAATCCTATACATAATTATTTAGAAGTGCTATCAAATGCAATACTGTACTGAGACCTTGCAAAGGAGCAGCCTGTGTGTAAACTAGATTGAGTGAGCTCTGCCCCTGGCAACCCACTCTCTGCCCCACCAGCCACAGCGGGCACCAGCCTCTTCCCATTAGAAATTCTTCTGAGGTTCCAAAACAGCATCAGCCTCAGGCAATTCAGGCCCAATTTCCTAACTGTATAAGCAGGACTTGTAACACCTTATTGTCTCACATAGCACTGTGACCCCCTGCTGGTCACATACAAATTAAAATCGTGGCACACCTTATCCATCCATTACATTGCATACGTATGATAAACAGCAGCCCCAACAGTAAAGAGCAGGTGAGCTCGTGATGGGAGCCCAACGCCATCGCTATGATCATCCATTTGCTGTGAAGGATACAAACATGGCATGATTCTAGCATCTCCCTCTTCTGCCTGGCAGAACAGTCTGCTGGATATCATTGGCCAACTCACAGCAGACCCCCACCCAAGGTGCTCCATCTGAAAATAGCCATTTTGCCCGTTCCACAAGCTTCATAAAGACCATCTTGGGCTCATGTCAGTTGTGGCACACTCACATTGATGCTGGGGTGATAGAAGAGAAGCCCGTTGCTGGACAGAGTAACGTATTTCTTCTTCCACTCCTTGTTCAGAGAGTTGCCACTTCGTTTCAGCAAGAAGCTCTAGTGGGAGAAAAAAGGCAGGGACAGGGGCTGAGTCAGGGTGAGGGCACTTTTGTGTCAGGATTATGTGTCATGAAAAGGCAGTGAATTGTCATTTCATGGGTTACTGTGTTTCACTGTTCAGAAGTGCATACAGGATTTCCAACCTTTGTGGCTGAAACGTCTTGGTTGGCTTTCGGTACCGGGCATTTTGACTCTGGTAGGTAGGCAGAGTGGGGGAATGTTAATATTTGGTGCTTCATTTCAGGCAGCGAAATGTTTTGGGCCAGCTCTCACAGCAGGTTGGGAGAAATGACAAATAAGTACTAGGCCGAACTGGGGTTTACCTGTTTGATTGGTATGGCTCGGCCACTCCCAGTGTTGTCTCCTCTGCTGTCCAGGCTCCGCTTCTCTGTGTCACTCCCTCTGCGATTCTGCAAAGAGAGATAGAGCTGATTCCAATGTAATGTAATGCCTAACTATTGTTTGTCACAATGTCCTTGCAAATGGTCGCCAAGCCAAGATCTATAACCATTGTTTGAAGATGGTTTGCAAACTACTTTTAGCAAACTCTGGTTTGGAATCACATATGAACAAACAACCAGGGTTTTGGACACTGCTTCGTTCTTACTTTGGGGTAGTAGCCATGGGACATCAGCAAGGGTAGGGGAAGAGGGGCACTGTGCAACCCATGGCTTGCCTGTGCACCCAGAAAACAAATCATGGTTCAGAGTCTAAACCATGGGTCCTCAAACTACGGCCTGCGGGCCGAATCCGGCCTGTCATACAGGTTTTGGACTTGCTGCGCACACATGCATGCGCATGGCAGGGTGACAGCTTGCTTGTGCAGAGATCGTTTTGGACTCACTTGGAGAAAAGGATCTCCATGTGAGCAAGCCACCGCCACCGCCTCACAGTGAGCGCGCCCAGCGATGGCTTGCTTGCGCGGAGATTGTTTTGGACTCGCTCAGAGAAAAGGATCTCTGCATGCGCCTGCCCCCCCACTCCGCGCTGGCCTGTGCCCCCCACCCGCACCGTCTTGGCGGCCCGTGCCCATCGCTGGCACCTTTCAACTGGCCCCCTGTTGAAAAAGTTTGAGGACCCCAGTCTAAGCTAATATCAGCATTAACTATGGTTGGTTATTATGTCTGAACCAACCTGTAAAGAGCCAAGGAAGGAAGGAGCAAGTCCCTCAGCCTAATGGGTTTCATACTTCCTATTCTGACAGCCAGTGTGGTGTAGTGGTTAAGAGCATGGGACTGGGACTCAGATGACCTGGGTTTGAGTCCCCGCTCAGCCATGGAGCCAACTGGGTGACTTTGGGCCAGTCACAGTCTCTCAGCCCAACGTACCTCACAGGGTTGTTGTTGTGGGGATAAGATGGAGGAGGAGATGTAAGCTGCCTTGAGCCCTTTGCAGGAAAAAGGCAGGATATAAATCCAAAAATAAATAAATAAATAAATAAATATTCTTTCACATTGTGTTTTTTTTTAGCTGCAGAACCCACTGAAGGTTCTCACAAGAGTTTTAGAACATAAACTAAAGAAAGATGCTATTGAGTTGAACACTGTACAAGGGAACACTGACTCTTTGTATAACATAATGGTTCCTCACATTTGACAAACAGACCAAACGCAAATCTCCCCCTGCTTGCTGTGATTAATTTCCCAGTTCTCTGATAGGGAACTGGGCCATCCACCTCTCTTAGCTTTCTCTCTTCCCTCTTCATTGCTGGTGCATCCCCAAAGCACTCACTGCAAAAAGGCTGGTACGGCGTTTGGTCCCACGGTGCAGGGAGCCCGGTGTGCCAATTATGGCTGAGGCCTCACCACGCAGCTCCCTATGGCTGATGTTGGGTGTGGAAGGCAGGGATGAAGAGTAGTCACTTGTGTGGCCGCCATTGCTTGCCTAGAAAAGAGTTCAGAAAGACCTACGTCAGCCCCTTCCCCTTTGGAAGGACACAGGTCTTACATTGGACAAGGGGCTAAAACTATTAACTAACAATAGAAATTCAGACTGCAGTTGGTAGCTTAGGGCTTGGCAAGGGGGCAGAGGGAAAGGGGTTGTGTGTTTTGTACAACCCATGGGAAACCTGTCCTCCCTGACAGATAGGAAACTAACAATGCTAATGAGAAGGCAGGATTAGAATCCTTCTCCTTGATTTCTAGTTTGCTGCATGCAAGGGCATTGTTGTAAAGTTTTGATATGGGGGATCAGGAAACCATCTGTTATCACACCCACAGTCTGATGTTATAGAATCTGGGAACAATTCTTCACTTTCACTTCTCTTTGCCAGACTGTCTCTTGATCACCTTTTGTTGGACAGCATGATAGCGGGGCACCAGGAACTTACTGTGAGCCACATAACAGCTCAATTCTTGGCTGAAGTCTCCATTTTGGAGAAGAGGAAGCAAGGGCCTCTGCAGTTAATTGTTGCCATAGCAATAAAGGAAGGGGGAAAGCCCTGCTCTGTGAGGGACACTTAACAGCCATCCTGTAGGCCCACCCAGAAGTTCCCAGGAGCCTGTGCCAGGACAAGCCAGCAATGTCATCTTGTGCTGGATTAGCACCACCACAATCATTAGGCCCATTCTGGCAATGGCAGCCATTAAGCACATGATCCTTCCTTTCCCCTTTTCTCTGCTTCCACCCAGTGGTCACAATAGGGAATTGCAGTGTTCATGGCTGCACGGGCCACTGCTGCAGGAATTTCTCCTCCCTCCACTTTGGCCCTTTAGATGAAAGATGATACGGAACAATCATCCCATGTCAACCAACCACCAACTCTTCACCCCTAGCTGGTGCTGCTTTTCTTCCCATCCGCCGGGCAGGCAAGCAAGAGCAAAGGTCCTGCAGGAAGGGACTGCAGGCAAGCAGGCCGCAAGGACCAGATGTGTGTCATTTATTCCAGCCTTACTCAACCCATGCACCACCAGAGGTGTTGGACTGCAACTCCCACCACGCCTGCCAGCATATGGAGACAATAGGAGTTGTGGCCCAACACATCGGAAGGGCACCAGGTTGGGGAAGACTGCTTTTGCTTCACTGTGTGGCTGATTTCGCCGCACTGTGATTCCAGTTATTGTCCAATGCCACAGAGCAGGCCACAGTGGCTCCTCTCCTCAGTTTGCTTTGCTCTTGCTATACCAAGGGAACACTTGTGCAGTCGGGCTGGCACTGCTGTTACACTCCAGGAAGGAATATGCTAAGGCACACTCCCCCAATCTGCTGGTCACTAAGACTCGTTTTCTACCTTCTGATGTGGTGCCATATGGAGAGTTGCCAGAGCATCAAGTACTCTGCATAGAGAATGAGATGTCTTAGCATCAAGAGTGCTCTGCCTCTCCTTGCTGCCCAGGACCTTGTGCTAAGTCCATTCAAGCAAGAGGAAGCCCCAGTTCCTGTAACTGGGCCAGGACATGGGCCTGTACTGGGCAAAGTAAATTCCACCCACCGGCGTGGAGACTGCAGAATGGCTGGGAGTGCTGGGCAAAGATTTGCATGATGCAAGAAGCTGCTGCTGTTTCTTCATATTCACAATCTTCTGGGCAACTGAAGCAGAAAAGGAAAAAAGCCACATGAACCTTCCAACTGCCCCACAAGGAGACACAAAACTTAGTGTCCTGCAATAGCAGGGGGTTGAATCCAATAGCCATCTGGCCCCTTCCAACTCTGCTATGCTATCATTCTATGAAAATCCACTGGAGACTTTACAGACTTAGTGACAGACAAGCCCCACAGGCATTGTTTAGGTCCCATCCCAGCAACTCACCCTCTCATCCTGAGGTCATGCTCCGAACAAATTATCTGGGGAGGAATCACACACATCCAGGGGCCCAAGAGTTGCTTACATGAAGCTGGGACCAATCATGTGGGTCATTTCCACACCATGCTGGGAGAGTTCCAGTCCGATGGGGAAGACACACAGTCACATTATTCACACTGGCTCCCCTGCAGTGTGGGGTCACATCATGGGCAAACCACTCCCATGTGCATGGGCCTCTGGTCTCCCTCCTTTGTTGGAATTAAGCCATAAATATAAGGCACCATCAGACTCATTTTAAAACAGGAGTCTCATTGCTCTTCCATTCTAAGCATGCAGAAAACAAAAAACTCTGGGCACAGCTACACAACTAGATGCACTACCAACATCTGATCTACACAGTGCCCTGTCTCAGCTAGAGCTACTCAAGTGTAAATAGAGCAGCTTGCCCCAACTTTTGACATGCAGGAGAACATCTTGTGAAAACATCAAAGGCTAGTAGATGCCCACCCCTTGCTTCCACCCATTGTATGGGTTCATACCACATGACCAGCCAGAGAAGGGGTAGCACGTGGGCTGTGGATGAATCATGTGTTTCTTTGTTGTGTAAATGCAGTTTTGCTAACAAACAAAACCCACAGCAAACCATGTGTTCTTTTTCTGTAGTTAGTTAGTGAAGCTGGGTTGACAAAAGATGATAACCCAGCATTCACCAACCAACCACGCTTTAGTGACAACCCGTGTTCACACTGAACTCCTCCTCTAGCCTGACTTGCTGTGTGAACTCAGCCACTGAGTCTACATTCAGGGCCAGTTCTCACAGTTCTGCCGGCATGCAGACTCTGGGCATAAAGGGATACATCAGCTAGCCTTGGCCAGGCATGCACCTACGTATTTCTTTAATCCAAAGTACCAACACTTCATACAGTCCATCATGTTTGCAGCAGACGGATAGGTGCATACAGGTTGTGCATGCATAAAGATGTGTGCCTATATGCCTCAATCCCGTGTGATGTTGTCTATCACCAAGGAGGAGCAGAGAGTGCAAATCAAGACATGTCCTCTTGCCCGACCACATGTAGACTCTGCATACTGCAAAGAACCGTACTTAGTCACCATTTAGACAGGTGCTTTTGATGCTTTGGCTCACAAGCAGTCTTCTTGCCATGAAATACAGACCTGCCCCTTCCCGGCTCAAAAATCCATTCTGCAAAAGCATTCACCTTCATTGAAGACCCGGTCCACATTGAGCCCGTAAGTGGCACATGTCTCATAGTAGAGGCAACGGCGCATTTCAGTGCACAGAGCCCGGGCTCGAGAATCCTCAATGACACGCGGGTTGCTGGCGCTGATTTTATCTGCAAAGAAGAAAGGAAGAGAGACTTACTTCCACTTCTGAACAGGACAGGAATCCATTGCCACTGAGAAGACTTACCTCTGAGTCAGCATCCGTTGAATTAGTTGTTACTCTCCTCTAGGCACACGGTGTCTAGGCTGCATTCAGTTCATTCATAAGAGAATAGATTCCTTTATCATACTGTCGGGTCATTCTCTAGCCCTTTCCAACATACATAGCTAGGGGGAGAACTACAGGCCCAGAAAATGGCTTGATTTGTTATGGCTTTGCCCTGTACAAATTTGGTGCCTTTGCTTCTGCGCCAAGGCTAGGAATACTCACAGTTCAGGATGACTGGTTTTATCCTTTGCTGCTCCCTGTAACTGAATTCTTGGTTCCTGGCTTCAGCTGGAAGTCTTTATTTTTTATTTTTTTGGTGCTCCAGCCGTTCACATCAGCACCTTGCTCTCATCCCTAAGCTAGTCATAATAAATTTGCTTGCTCTTAACTTTGCTTTGATGCCTTCAATCCTGCTGGGTCAGCCTTGGCATTGCCTGCAGCCTTGGCTGAAATTCAGCAAAGGCTTACCTGGCAATACGACCCCCTCTATGGCGTCTGGCACACTCCAGAGCACCTGCTCATAGCTAAGAACCCACCAATGTCCTGAATAACACTGGAATCCCCAGCTCAAAGTGTGGTCAATTGCCTCCTTGCAGAACAACCAGAAGGCTATGTGTATCTGCCTGCAATCTGCATGGGCAGAAATTAGGATTAGACTATTACGTTTTTTTAAAATGCACGTTTCTTGACCTTATGGCAGTCTTCCTCATCATGGTGACCTCTGGATGTTTCTGACTTAAATCCCATCAGCCCCAGCTGGTGGTCTGCAGTCCTGAGCCTTGAGATTCAAGACATACAGGCTGGGGAGGATTTGGGCAATACCAGCTGGAAGCTTAGAGATAATAAAGGAAGCCAGTGGGATTTCTAGTGGTCAAGAAGAGGCAGGCTGCCATGCCATCCATAGTTCCCCATGATTAACAGAAGCAAAGCCAATTATATAAATAATTATAAACAGAAGTAAGTATCCAAAATATTAAATGTGTGAGAGCACAGAAATAAATATTAAATATTAAATTAATAAAAGCATGCTTTAATTTACAGAATTAAAATGTGGAAGCTTAGAATTTATTTAAGATGCTTAAATATGGTAAATAAAAATATGGTTATAAAATATAACATGAAATGAAATATAGCATAAAATATAAATTAAGATATTTTATTATAGAATTAAAACATGAGAGCACAGAATTTAAAATGTGTAAAATATGTAAAGGGTGAGAGTACAGAATTTTGGCTATTTCTGATGTACATCCAAGGATCTCTGGTCAGAATTTTCAATCAATAACAAAATATTCCAACTCCACAGCTCCATAATTCCAAGAATTCCTGGGCCAAGAACCTATCCATGCCTGGCCCCCCTCCCCACCACAAACTGTGTGCGAGGAATCCAAAGGGAGCAGCCTAGAACTCTCTGTCCAGACAACTAATGCAAATGACATGGCAAATCCTTCCCTTTAAGTCACCTTGCAATTGTTCAACAGCGCAATTGAAGGGCCACTTTGCTGTCTTCCATGCCAGCACTGCCCCACTCTCTGGGGCTATCTGTCCCCCACCCTGCACATCTATATTCCACATTAGTCACAAGAAATCCTTGGATCCACTCTCACCGCCACTGATGAAGATTAGAAGCCAGCTCACCCATGTAGCTGTGCATGGAATGGACGCAAAACTCACCCACCCTCGTTGCTCCAACTACTTTGCAGAAATCTGGCTAAGAGGTGGTGGCCAAGTAAAGACTGAAGTGGGAAGTAAGAGCTGTGTGGTACTCTCATTTCAGAGGCAGGAACATATGGCCCTCTGGATGTTGTAAGAGTACAACTCCCATCATCCCTCACTGCTGGCTATGCTAGTGAAAGCCTATGGGAACTGTGCTCCAACACACCTGGAGGACCACACATTCCCTTGCTTTATTTGATACTCTTACCCAGCTTTCTCTGGCCTACGCAACAGACTCCCTGTTGACCCCAGGGTGCCAAACTAACTACCCCCACCTTGACACCTGTCTATTTAAAATTATTTCTAGGCTGCCTTTAATAGTGGAGCCCTCTCTGCTTTTGGAAACATCCACACCCCTCTAGAGTAAATTCTCCTAGGTATCCTCTTCCACTCACCTTGAGTGCCCACGAGTGCAAGTGCCATGTCAGAGACCGCACGGTAGTTTGTAAGGAGCCCATAGTACTGCGTCAGCTCTTGGAAGCTGGCCTCATTCTCCAGGCTGAAGACAAAAATGACAGCATCTGCCCAATTTGCAAACTGAAAGAGAGAAGGAAAACAAGAGAGCCTTTTAGTCAGTTGACGTTTTTGGATCCATTTGGACATTTGGATCCATTAGAAAGACAAGCAGGAGGGGTGATGCTTTTCCAAACTCTTCCCATGTATATGAAAGCCCAGATACATGGAGCATTAAAACCAAAACACCTGGAAACTCAAACCCAGGGGCCCGACTTTTATTTCAAGCATGCCAAAATGAGCAGGGGCCATGGTCCAATTTTTAAAAAAGGAGTGCATGGTTAAAGGAAGTGGAACAATCCCGATTCCTTTTCTCTCCATGCTCTATGGCCTAAGCTACTTTTCTCCTGGCCTGATTTGTGGATCTAGCAGGGCTAAGACAGAAATCCTGGGGCAACAAATCACAGACAGATAAAGTGGATGAAAGTTTAACTCCCCTCATCCATCCATCCCTCCCCTCCTGAATTAAAACCATATCTACATTCATTACATGAACAAGCCAGACAAGTGATGTCAGATGAAACTGCAGCATTGTGTCTAGCTTGGCCTGCAGACTGGAGGGCTTCCTTTGCAATTGAAATAGGCCGTTTTAAAAATGAACAGCAAATGTTGGCAGTCTTTTCACAGAACATCCACTGGCCTCCAATGGGCTGTGGTTCCCAGATTCCATGAACAATGGAGACTTTTCCAGTCCATGAGCTAGTTGAGTAAGAAAGCAGCTTTCCCACAAATAGATACAGGTCTAGTTCAGACACCTCCTGGGCTGAAATGGACCCAACACATCACAACTCTCCAGTAACTGCTGCCTGAAACCACTGCCTTACTTGCCCAATGGTAGGGCTGGCCCTGAATGGAAAATAGGAGCGCTCAGTTTTCTACCACATGAATTGGAGCAAATGCCAAGGAAGTGTCTGGACTGGCCCAGAGACACATGTATGAACCATATATTATGAAAAGTGCCGAAACCTCTTTTCTTTTCCGTGTCTCCTAAGTAGGTTTTCTTGGCACCTCACTTCTTCAGCCCCAGACTGTAGAGCATTTTTAGAAGCTGCTTAAATTTCAATGGTTCAGTGTATGCCAAATAAATAATGGCAGTGACGTTTTGAATTCCCTTACTGAAAGAGGTTGGGACTATACTTATTCTGCTCATTGCTTGGTCACTATAGTGATTCTGTTCACCAAACAGTGGGGCACTAGGGATGAGTGAGCCAGTACTAATTTGCATGGGAGAGCAAGAACCCTTGGGCCAGTCGTGCAGCCACCCCTCTCCTCTCTGAACTGCGATTCCACAGGTCCTCTGGGGAGAGGACACAATGGTTAACCCGGCAGACAGGTAGGCAAACCCTGCAACTTCCAGGCAGCATAAACTGCAAACAGCAGCGATCCAAAGGGCTAGAGCTCTCAGGCTGTGAGGGAGCTGCTACCTTGGCATCAGGAGGCCCCGCTTCCTCTCGAAGCAGCAAGAGATGGCTCTGTCCATCCACCACCACTTCCTTCTTGAACTGGCCCCCTGGAAGACAGAAGAGGACAGGGTAAATATGGAAATGAGCTGAACCACCAAACTAAGCAGCTCCTTTGGTGGAATGACCCACATGGATATTATTAGCACAGTTCACAAAGCAGACAGATAAAGCCTGTGATGGGAGGGGAGGACAGTGTAGTTCATAAGGACAATCTCAGGAAGCAGCACTGCGGGGGGGCGGGGGGAGGGATTGAGTTCAGTGACTGAGCACCCGCTGGGCACACAGAAGGCCCCAGCTCAATCCATAGCAGCATCTCCTGCTGAAAGAATCTTAGGCAACAAGCTCCCTACATTGCACACTTAGTGAAACTGGAAGGGGTCCCACTCTTGGTGGCCCTTTGTTTCTTCCCCCATTCCTATGATGTGTGAGAAAAGGGAACTTCCTGAATGGATGTTCAGGCGGGGCTGGGTGGGCACTAAGCCGGAGCTGTGATTTGGGGCGGGGGGGGAGGGAGGCCAGCTCACCCTCAGTTGGTTCTAGGCCCAAGTAAGAGCCTGTCAGGTAGCGATGAACAAGTGCAGACTTCCCACTCTTGATGGTCCCAAGAATGCCCTGAGGAGGTCAAAGAACAGGAGTCATGGCAGGAGGAAATTCAACACAGCACAGTGTCTGGCTCTCAGGATGAATTAGGGCTAGAGCAAGCAACCTATCCTACAACTGCTATAATCCCTGACTACTGACCATGCTGTCCAGGGTTTATGGGAATTGGAGTGACAAACATAAAGCTGCCTGAATCTATTTTAGAAGATGCTGCCCTTGTAGTATGCGGCCTTTACCTGCTCTGCCCCTAACAGTGTCCCATCACCAAGCCAGGGATCAGAACTGACAGCTTGAAGAGAAGTCCCCTCAGGAAAGGCAATCCTGAGCAGGGATGGGCAAACAGTCTTTTGGTCTGTGTCACTTTCGCATAGGTTCACCAATACATCTGTTTCATCTCATTTCTGCATTCTTCTATGAACTTTTAAAAATCCGTCTAGAATTTTCCAAGTAAATATTTCTTTTTATTTTCTCTGAAAGTATGGCATTATAAGAGTATTTTAATACTTTTGCCCATCTAAGAACCAGAGTTGTGACATTTGCTTGATACCTAAGTCTCAAACTCCACATTAAACCAGGAGAAGGTGGGAAAGGTCAGTTCATACTGCAGTTTGCAAAGACTAAACTCCTCAAGTATCCTTACTCCTGAGAAAGTCTAGTGATGAGGCAGCAAAGCAGAGGACAGAAGGCCACTGCAATCACAGCAGAATTTGGTACTTATCCACTCCCACTCTGGCCCTACTTTGTGGTTAGAGCAGCTCTGAATTGGAATGGTTTCTACCAATGCCAGTACAGTGATATCTAAAATATGAGAAACAGTGCAAATTAATTTAATATAATTGCCTGAGGGCATTGATGTAGATCTCTGATGCTGTATGAAGAAGCTGCATATACATGAGTGGTACTTTGCAGAATTAAATGTTGGAAGTGAGGTCACTGCCTTGAGGAACTTAGAATCTAACAACTTGATGGTTAGCATCTCAAACACAGGCATCGACTCTGAGCCCACGCCCAGATATTGTCAGATTACAACTCGCATCATCCCTCACCATGGCCATGACGGAAGGGCCTGAGGGGAGTTGCTGTCCAACAATATCTGGAAGCCTGTGCATTCCCCAGCCTGGAATGAGAACCAGTTTCAGAATATGTATAAGCAACAAAGGTCATCAGACACTTACCAATCGTAGCTCGGGGATGGAGCGGCCAAGAGTCCATTCCTGGCTGTTTGCAATGGCCTCTGAAAAGACAAAGCAAAACAGATTAATGATAAGTAATAATGAGTCTGTGCTTATGCTGTTATGTGCTCACAGTGACCCTATGAAAGACTCCTGTCTTTGGCAGCCCTGCTCAGTTCTTTGATATCACTAATCTTTTCAACAGCCCTGTGGGGTAAGCCAATACAATCATTCCCACATTGCAGACAGAGGAGCCTCAGAAAATAGTGCCTTGCCTAAGGCCGTGTAGTAAATATGCAGTCAAAAAGCCATTTCAGCTGGAGGACTTGTTCATGCTTCCACCTGATTAGACTTAAGGCAAGCGCTTCCTCCCAGCTCTGCACACAGAGAACACCCTCCTGCCAGATTCCTGTTCACAGTTTTCTACAGAGACAGGAAGCTGGGGACCAAATACCCTTTTGTGGGCATTCTGTGGAATACAGAGAAGAAAAGAGGAGAGGAGGCTCTCCCGGTCACGTATCCATCAGCTGCTCTGTGGGGACAACTCCCTTCACCCTTCAGCTCTCCCAGGCACCACAGTTGGTCCTTTGTGCTACTTTGGGGGCAGCAAAAAGAACGGGGAAGGCAGCTGCAACTAGATGGGCAGAATACTATACACTTCCCAGGTCCCTGAGACAAGTGTCACAGCAATAGGATGCATTACCCAGGGCATAAAGACCCAGTTCAAGGCAAAATGTGAGCCGCCTGGAATGCAGGAAGCAGGGATAGAAGCAGGTGCTCTTTCAGAGAGCCTGGGAACGTGGCTGGAAGACAGGACTGGAATATTTTACTCTCTCAGACACTAGCATGTGAGGTTCTAAGTGGCCAGCACTGAACCTGGCTGGGAGAAGTATGCCAAGACACCCAGATGCCTGAGAGCATGACAACCTTTGCTGGTATGGGTGATCCGGGTACAAAGGACTGTGGGGAAGAGAGAGAGAAAGAGACAATTGGATGCCTTAATCTAGACCAACCTAAGCTCTGCACATGGTTTCCCTCAACTGTATAAGCGCTTATACAGAAAGTACCTCGAGATGTTTTTTATTATTATTACTATTACTACTATTATTATTATTTACATTTCTATACTTCCCATAGCCAAAGCTGTCTGAGATATTTAAAACAATAATCATAAAATCATATACTCAAGCCACCCATCCAGATTTCAACTGCACCTGACCTGGCTTAGCTTCCAAGATAAGGCAGGATCAGGCACTTCAGGCCATCCGGAAGCTATGATTTAGAGCAGCCTTCAGCAACCATGGGAGCTGTAGTCCAGCATACACACAGCATACCTGGCAAGGGAGGTCAGCATAGAGAGTACCTGCCTGCTTCCACACCTGTGGCTCAGGGCAGCATAGCCCCAGGCAAGCTTCATCTGCAGCACTTCCCTTTTTAGAGAGCAGAATGTCACAAAGGAATATTATGTACCTTTATCAACACTGCATGCCTTTTTGTTGATATAGGGCTAACTCCTTCCAACCAATACAGGGTGGG